ACTACTTCCACCACGTCAAACAAGTGTTCCTTGACCAGGAATCCGACTCCCCCCTCCCCCCTTTTCCTCGGGTCTAAGCCCTTTCTTGCCTTCCCTACCCACCGGTATTTCCCTAGTTTGCTTACCACGTCCCCATCCTTCAATTCCCACGTCTCTTGGATCCCCACTACATCTAGATCGCCTTGTACTACTTGGTCTACCATTTCCAACCGCTTGCGCTCACTCCTTGCGAATCCGCACACGTTCCGCGACCCGACTCTCAGCTTGTGCTTGTTTCCCTATTGGAGATTTTGTGCACGCTATCGTTCGCCTTCCGCTTCTTCTCGGCGTTATCCTGACTCGCCTGTTCGCCTCCCCCGCTCGGTTCCTTCTTCACCTCCATCGTCCTCGCCTTTTGTCTCCTTACCTTCTCTGTTTCTATCATGTTCGCGATGCTGCCCTCCATCCAAACTTCCATACGTAGTTCGACAGCTTCTCGATGGCAACCCTCAAGCACTCTAGGCTGTCTCCTCTGGTCAATTTCACCCTGAAGTGTTCATGCTCCCTGCCTACTTGTCCCCTTGCTAGGCAGTGCAGTCCCTCCCTGTCACAACAGTTCTTGAACTCTATCCTCGTCATGTCCCTTGGAATCCCAAACAGCAGCAGCTCCAAATTATCTCCCTTCCACAGTTTCTGCTTACATTTTCCCGGCTGCTTCACCATCCTTATGATCTCTACGGCAACTGGACCGTGGCCACTTGTTTTTCGTGTTTTTTCAGGAAGGTATACGGAATACTTGGCCTTCCCAATCCGAGTGTCCGGCGGGAGTTGTGGTTCCTTTCAGTTCTTTTGCCGGCTCACCGACGCTAAATAGCGCCTCCAACATAGGCTCGTAGTCTAGATCCAAGTTCACACCTCCTGGCACAAGACTGGGGTACTTGTGCCGGGCGCTCTGCTTAGTAAACACCCAGGCGTCCCCCGACCACCGAATTTATCATCTCCGAAGTCCCGCGGTACAGGCTACTTTCCTCCTGGGAGGTCATTTTCACCACAATAAGTTCAGGGACGACTTGCACAGCCTAAGATCCTACTGACACGCCANACATAGGCTCGTAGTCTAGATCCAAGTTCACACCTCCTGGCACAAGACTGGGGTANCGTCCAGCTTCTCATGTACGCTCCACCATGGGTTGCTACCCCACTTACGCTCCCGAGTAGACGTATGTGCCGAAAGTTTGGCCAACAATCCCTTGCTGCTTTGTACTTGCCTTTCTCCAATCGAAAACAATGCATTGTGCTAAGGAGGACCCGATTCGCAAGGTATCCGTCGATTGACTTTTACCTGAATCGGTAAACCTTCGCATGTGGCGTCAGCTGGATACTGGTTTGAACCTCCTTGGGTGCACGCTTTTTCTCCTGAATTGGACATTTTCCCGTGGACACAATGTGTGTCAGTCCTGAGAACATCCCTTGGTGGAGTCGATCCTACAAAGAACCTTGTGACACTTCCATCGAATTACCCATCCTGGCCACAAGAGGTTCCCAGTTGTGGGTAAATTCTGTGGGTGGAGAGTGCTATGGAGGACCAGATTCACAGGGCATCCGTCGATTGACTTTTACCTGAATCGGTACACCTTCGCAATTGTGCATGCCGCACATCTAGCGCCGCAGTTTTTGCATGGTTGGTCCGGTCGTTCAGACGTGAGTAATAAGCTTTGCTTTGATGGCTCTATGTTTTATTGATCCACTTCAAGCAACGAACACACCCCCCCCCCTCCACCGTCCGATCCATTTTGGATCTCACGCCGGAGAGTTTTGGGGTGTCTTAGCCCTAAGTCCTCCACCGCCCAAAGGGGGACTTCAGTGTTTTTTTTTTATGCCGTACCAATAGGCATCAACCTTAGGTAAGCTTGTGCTTACTTGGACTGTACCCTCCCCATCCTCTGGGGGAGGTAGAGGGGGCGGGGGGGCGCATGGCCGCTATTTTTCAGGGGAGGTTCGGGTACGGGTTGGGGGTCGGGTCTATGTGTACTGCATTCATTCTCGAATTGTCCCCTCACTATAATAGCTACTGTGGTTTTTCAGATTCAGCTATCCTCACTCAACGCGTCCATGTGTCCGGCAATCTCCGATAGTCTACAAATCAACCTGTGAGGTTTCAGCATGCAGCTTTCCTCACTCCATGCGTCTATGTGTCCGGCAATCGCAAACGTCACTCAACCCGTGAGGTCTCAGTATGCAGCTATCCTCGCTCAAAGCGTCTAGATGTGTTTAGCACTTTCCAACATCACTCAACTCGTGAGCTTTCAGTATGTAGCTATCCCCACTCAATGCGTCTATGTGTCTGGCAAACTCAAAAACCAATCCATCTGTGAGGTTTCAGCATGCAGCTATCCTCACTCAACGCGTCTATGTGTCCGGCAATCTCAATACAGATCGCCTGTTCGGTCGGGTTTCAGGATGCAGCTATCCCCACTCGACGCGTCTATGTGTCCGGCAAACTCAAACACCAATCCATACGTACGTGAGTTTTCAGTATGCAGCTAACCTCACTCAACACGTCTATGTGTCCGGCAAACTCAAACACCAATCCATACGTACGTGAGTTTTCAGTATGCAGCTAACCTCACTCAACACGTCTATGTGTCCGGCAATCTCCAATATAAATCACCTGTGAGGTTCAGTATGTATGTGTCTATCCTCACTCAAAGCACCTATCTATGTGTCCGGCACTCCTACATCACTCACTCACCCCGTGGGATTTCAGCATGCAGCTATCCCCACTCAACCCGTCCATGTGACTGGCAATCTCAAACCTCACTCAACCCTTGAGGTTTCGTATACAGCTAGTCTATAGTCTAATCACTCAACACGTCTAGTCTAAGTGTGTGTCTGGCAATCTCATACATTACTCAACCTGTGAGGTTTCCGTAAACAGCCATCCTCCCTCCACTCGTCCATGCGTCACGCGTCTTTGGTAGCGCATTGTGCGTGCCTGAAGCCCGCCGCTTTTGGAGACGAGTGGGCGCTGGTATTCTCGTTGGTGGTTATGGTATGCGGTTTATTGATATTACACATTTTTGGACAGGGGCTCCAATTTTTTTTCCGGAAGCAGATTTGAGCGAAGAACGTTTCCTGGAAACTTCGTGCAGGCGAACTGTTCAGATCTAAGCGGCTTCATGTATGTGATTGGCTGTGGGTCAACAGTCCTCCCGCGAACGTCCCCTGTCCGCAGGTGCTGTTGTTTTTTCGTGATGCGCTGCGTGACAGCTAGCTGTGCACCTTCCTTGATGACAACGTGCCCTCACTGCTGCTGCTGCTGCTGTTGAGTGTGCGTGCGTGCGTGCGTGCGCTTGTCCGTGTCTGCGTCGAACCCTCAATCCCAGCACACGAAATCACACCACACCAGTACGGAGACAGGAAGTGATTACTGTACACTGGGCGACGACAGCCTCTGAACGAAGTGCTATGTCGCGTTTCAAGCGTTCGGGAGAGAGGCAGGGGGGTTGGGACCGGGAGGCACATCCGAGTCAAACGCTCTTCTTTCTAGTAGACACCAGAAAAAAAACTCTTGCGCGCGGAAGGACGCGACCGCCTTCACCAGGAGGCCACTACGTGCTCTTCCTCCTCTCTGCTCTTCTTCTTTGCTGGCGGCGTTGCCACCACCTCTGGGTTCGTGCGCTCTTCCACCCCCTTGCCTCAATCTGACTGACGGGCGTGTTACTGACCTCAACCCAGCCGGACATTAACCCAACTTTCTGACCGTGCAGCCTCCCTGTTTTTTTTGTGTTGGTGGCGGGACAACTCCAGGGCCTTTCGCTGGGCGCTGGCCTTCTCTTTGGCCGCGCTAACATGTCTCAGCAGACTGATGTGTGTGCGTGCGGTGGTGTGTTGATGTGTTACTTCGAAGAAAGTCGCTAAATCGAATGATCGTGAACCTTTTTCCACAAACCAAGCCTCCCTCGGCTCCAAAATCTGTAGTTTTTTCCCTTCTTGTGGGTTCTGGCGAGACTGTCAGGAGCGATCCTCAGAACGACGGCTTAACTAAAAATATGTTTCCATATTTCGGAAAAATTTTGGGTCCACAACTGTCAATTGTCTTTACCGAAATACCTTTCGGACCCCTGCTTAGGATTTTCAACAATCTGTTTTGTCTTACTGGTTTCGCGGGCGCCTGTTCCTCGAACGGTCAGGTTTCGCAGTGACGTATCGAACACTGGCGATTGACGAAAAGAGAACCCACTGCCCCCCTTTGATACTGAGTGCACACGGTAGCCGCGGTCCCGCCAATTTGTCCTTCCGTGCCTCCCAACACAACCGTCGGTTTCAGCCAATATAGGAGCTCGAATGACTTGTTTCACCAAATCACTACTGTATCCCCCAAATCCTCGCCAGTTTGCCACCGCTCACTCCTGTTTCTCGCGTTGTCTCAGTCGCCACCTCCCATCCCTGCCTCCCTCGGTGTTTGCCATCAGGATTGGGTTTTCGTCGCTTGGCAACGACGTTGAAAAACAAGCCAGTTCACTTCGTGTGAACTCGGCACAACCAGGTTACCGTTTTTTTACCTCTGTTTTTTTTTTGACGGTAACCATAATGGTGGTCGAGTAGATCATGTTGTGCGGGGTGGAGAACCCTCACTCCGCGCAAGGGGGATGATCGCACCACGTTGTGTTGAAATGGTCAAGCACCCTCGAGGCAGTTACACAGTGCTTACAACTGTCTCAGGAAGTGAAAGCACCAGAAAGGAAATTAAGTCATACGCAGCTGTTATCCGTACGCAAGGAAGAAAAAGCACAAGATGCCGAAAACCCTTAGCAGGATGCAGCGCACCCTTCATGCGACTCGCCGAATATCTCACGGCGCTTCGCGCTTGGTGATGTGAGAGCCTGGTCCGGTGAGAACCCGGCGTGCTCCGTCCCGGCTTTGTAGGGATGCGAGGTCAATGGTCTAACAACTACGGCATGCACGACTATTGAGAACACCCCATACCTGCCTCGATTTATAAGCACAGACGACGTGATCCGTGCCGTCACGACGCACCAAGCCGTTACCGTCCCCATCAGCAATGCTACTAGCCCAAGTATATGCGCGCCAATCACCCATGGAGCATGGTTCAAGTACACCACCAATGATGGGAACAGAGGGTCGGAAAAGCGAGCTTGCTCGCGGCCAACCTTTTTCGCGGAATGCGCCGGAGTTGCTCAAAATGTGGACGAAAAACAGGAGTATTGACGGTATATGAACCGGGGGGTGATCCTCTGCCATCGATCGGGAATGCGGAATGCTTGGATTTCTAGGGAGGGCCTCATGGTTAGGGGATCTTGGGGGTCAGCTGTCATCGGTCGGGAACGCAGCATGCGTCAATTGTAAGGAGTGCTGCCAGCCGTCGTGCAAACCCGATCGTGAATCCCTTGTAGGTATCCAAGAGCGCGTGGTCATGCCCGTTGAATCGATACATGCGTTTCCGACACTGCAACAAAAGCTCGGTCTATCGTTTCTTCACGAGACGGATCCAAACGGAGTCCCCCCTCCCTACGTTAAGAGGCCTCCACGCACACATGCCCTGCGCATGAATGAAAACGAACAATACCCTTCGGAACCTATGTAGAGTCTCCCACACCCCTCGCGCAGTCCCGCCCGAAAACAACGTGCAACCAAACTCGAGAAGTCATAGCGGCGTTCCTACCCACTTAACGACGTGTTAACGAAAGACTTGTAACAACACCGGAATGAGAATACCGCGGAATTCTTTACCGCGTTGCCGGGGATAGGCCGCGGAAATACTGAACGGCTAACGCGAAACCAATTTCAAAGTGCTGGCCCGTTACGTGGTCAAACCACCCGCGACCGTTGTTGTTCACGGAAGGGTCGTCGAAACCCCGTTATGAAGCACCAGGGTGTCATTGTCATGGAGGGGATGGCGGCACAACGTTCCCCGCGCTTGCCCCGCTGCCGTCGATCGGCCGCACGGCCATGAAACTTCTGACCATTTCGTCCGTCACGGCCGCTCTCGCATCCTGGTGGTCCTGGGTCATCTTGGTCAAGATCTCGATGAGGATCTTCTTGACCTCGCCCGTCAGCATTCTTCCTGCAGCGTACTCTTCGCCTGCAAAGAACAGAAGAGCAGACACCATCAATGCACCGAAAAGCAGGAGGCAAATCGGCCGGTAGTCGGCAACACAATGCGACCCTATGGGAATATTGTACACTGAATATTGGGTGAAATGTCAACAATGCCTGTCGGCATCTATCGGCATTCGGGGTGGACGATGACCAGAGCCTCCAAAACGCGTCTCATTTACCGATCATCGTCTCCGTCGAGACTCCCGCGCTTCTCGCCAAGGCGTCGAGGACGTCCACGTCAGTAACGTCCCCATTTCAACTCCGTTCAGGTCTCAGGGCAATGTACGTCTCGATCACGACGTTCAGGGTCAGCAATTCACGCACCATACTTTGCGAGCAGGTCGACACGTCACGCCCTCGATAACGACAAAATCAACACAGGGGATCGAGAATGTCCCCTGGGTTCTGCACAAATCGAAGGCCTCACCTATGCGCTTAAGTTCGTCGTCATCCTCCATAAAGAACGTCAGGTACTGGTAAGGCACATCCACCTGCGCAGAATATAGGCAGAAATTGTGGCGCCGAGGGTCACCGTAAGATGCTTACAAGTAGATCGGCGCATTGAGTGATCCGCTGACCTCGACGAGGGCGCCGTCTGCAGGACATGAAGAAGGAGTAAGCTCCAACACAACTCCAAGGGGTAATCGCATGGCACTTGGTTGAAATTGTGAGGGCTGCTGTTCCTCACGCGAGGCGATCGCAAACAGCTCAAAGGCTGTCGCCAATTGGTACAGCAGTGTTGAGAATGTGGAGGGGCGACCGAACACTTACAAATCCCACGTCGCTAGCAAAAAGAACACGTCGCTGCCGAATGTCGTACGCATGTCGGGCGTACGCGAAATCACCAATATGTCCATATAAACGAAAAAAAACTGGTGAAAACAAAAGTAGCTATTCTCAGCGTCTCGTGCTGCACCACAAAATTCTCAGCGTTCTTTCCTCCATCCGTTGGGAACCACTCACGGGCATCAGAATCACAGAAACTTTACGACGTGCAAGGTACACCACACACCAAACACGAGGACGCACATGGATGTTGGCCCCATGGAGTTCCTGCAGCTCCTTGGTCTCCTGCCCCCCCGAGAAGCAGCCATTGATCTTCTTCTTCACCTTGGTTGTGAGATACAACCGCGAGCATCAACAACCAAAAAAATCAAACTAACAACCGATCAGGTTGGTACATTCACGTGCACATGGGACAGAAGAAAAAAAAAACCCGGCTAGATCGGTACATTCCAACAAACAACGACGAGGATTTGGCGACGGCAACAAAATGACCCCACAGGTGCACCCGGCCGGGACAGGTGCTCCTGTTGCAAAGGCAATGCGAGACATTCGGCGGACGGTTACATCTTTATCCCACCGCGTGCACTCCTACGCGCGACATTGCCCAAGCTAATCCCCACACCCACACACGCTGCGACCGCAACACGAAAGAACCTATTGCAGATCGACACGCCCAAAAGCCGTGCTGCACAAGGCTACGGATTGAAGCTTCGCCTTACGCCTTAAAAGCTGGGATGGAAGACATATACCCACCTTCTTGGGTGTATCCGTGACGAAAATTGCGCTAGACTCGGTGCTCGAGCTCATTTTCCCTCCCGGCCCCTTCGGTCAACGCCCGACAGACACACATACATCCACACGGGCAGCGGGGCAGGGGCGTCGTCAAGCACCAGCATCACAACGCAACAGTTAGTGGTCTTGCTTCGTTAGACGACGCCGATCGCAGTCCTGAAATCGCCGCAGAAGTCGCTCGATCGATTTTGGGTAAAATCACTTCAGCACACCTACAACAGAAGAGCTGAAGAGAAGGCACAAGAAGTGTCAGTCAAGACTGGATGGCGCCAAAACGCATGGGATCAGGCCGAATAGATTTTTCCTAGAAATAATATAAGCAAAGATTTGTCTGTTCAAAGATTTGTCTGTCCAGCAATATAATTGTCAATTATTGGTTGTAGGGAAGGACGCATCGGAAAGTACGAGATACCGGGATTAAAACCGGTATTCCGGCCGGAAGTCACGATTCATTTCGATTCGAACACATCACTGAACAAACACGAGGAAAACATTGTTCGATGCTCGCAGGTGGTGACGCGTGAAACATGGGGCTGATGCGACCACATGCATACACCACATCCATACGTACCGAGAGTTTTCGCATGACTAATGCATTGGGGGATATCATACGTTCGTACCAAGAGTCGCTAGAGAAAACAGCGTTGGGGTATAGACCATGTACGATTATGACATGTAGCATCACCTGAAGGCCGGGGAAGAACCTTGAGTGAATCAAAGCTGGTTTTCGCAGCTTCATTCGCGGCGCCACGTCCCGAGTCATGCGGAAGTATGCGTCCTGAAAAACATGACGGCGGGACAACGCGAACGGTCACACAACAGAGGCGTAACCAGGCAAGTGTGAGCGAAATGAAACGATTTCTGCCTACAATCTGCGCCTTTCGACAAAAAAAAATATTCTGGTCACAGCATGGTGCCTGACTGGCACATGGGGGCTTCAGAGTGGACAAGCCTTGGAGATTTGCACTCAAAGTCATTAATAACAAAGGAAGGGAAAATCAAACGAAGCTACACAACCGAATGAGGAACGGTAGAGTAGGAAAGGGGCCAAGTTCGTTCGCCCGCGATAGACGAGAAAACAACGAGGCGGCGGGGCTGTCAAAATGAACACGTGCTCCGCCTATGCATAGCGGGTTGACAACGGCACATTCGACATGCAGAATCTTGCTATTTTCCATCTCTTGATGGACATACAGGCTCCGCTGCGGCCGTACCTGTCGGGAGAATTCGAGCCCCCTACAAATTTCCGTACATTCCACGCTTGATTGCTCCACAAGCAAGACTGAACACAAAACATTCGACGACATCTCGCGAACAGGTGTCGGTTATCGCACCCTCAGCAAATAAGGCTTGAAAATCGGTCTCGCAAGGGTTGCGATCCCTCCGCTACTACATTTTTCATCCATTCGCACGACAGGCAAAAGCTTCCCCGAAAAAACAAAAAAAACGAGGGTTGACACGCATAGTGCGGGCATGGGGTTGTCACAACAACACCAATGTACCAGGAAGTCATTTCCGGAGCTTTTCGCCTGTAGTACGAATCGACGTCGCCATCTCGAAACAACTCCCAACTCCACGAGCGAAACATTTCCGGCGGGCGGCAGCGCCGCGTTATTGATGCAAGGCCGGTAATTGGACTACCTCGTCGGTCGTACTCCGCCTCCACAATAGAGGTCTCACACAATGCAAACCAGAGGAGGGTAGGGGGAGGCTGCTTGTACTGTACCTGATCGATGGCGCAAGGGATGAGGCACGGACGATCAGGCGTTCCCCCGAGGGGGATGGGGAAGGAGGAGGAGAACGACGGGGCCGCCTGGACCGCGGGGAAGGCTTGGCAGCCGATGTTGTGGCTCTCGGTGAACCCGAAGATGCCACGGACCTGGTTATAAGTTACGAGCCTGGCGGGGGAGGGGGGGTACGCAGGGAGAGCGTGAGATGAAAACGTGGGGGAAGAGCGTGAGATGCGGGAGGTCAGCAATACGGATGATAAGCAGGGGGGCACAATCAACAGTCTCGATCGTACGTGGTTGTCCCTTGCTTGATCGATGCATGCAAGCTTGAGCTGGTAAGGCTCCCTTGGAATGCAATAGTGCGGCGAGATCCGTGTCGTTTCGGGCGTTCGATTGGATATTTGCGGGTTATGTCTGATAGTGACTTGACAATTTTCTATTTGCCAGCAGCAGGAGCTACAACGCCGTCGAAAAAGAAACCGCCAAACGGAGGTTTCCAAGACCGGGGTAAGATATCGCGCAGAAAATCGTCACAAACATTGATGGATGAACGCAGCGAACACGCCACGCACGCATGAGCTAACGAAATGCCTCACTACTCCTGCTGCACCACTCGCCCCACCCAAAGCAGAGTAGCATGGCGAGGGGACTCAGATGGGCCGGAGCATGTACATCGAATAACCTACGAGACCCACGATGGTAACCGTTCTGAATAACAGCAAAAGCAACGATGCACCAACACGTGCCCATGCTGACACCCCGACGCAAACGCCAAGGTGTTTCCATTCAACGTACAGAATTGTAGCCCCCGTCGCCCAACGGCGCGGCATAGACTACATGTCGTTTGCCATCTCCGACTACATTCAGGTTATCACCGAGCAGCAGCACCTTCACAAAAGGAGTGCAACTCACTTGTCCACCTTGAGTATAATCGATTAGTGCTGGACGTCTAGCTCACCATGGTGGAGCACCATTACAACAAGAGTATACTTCCTTCTCGATGTCAGGTAGAACCGGTTGCTATTGAGCGTCTAGATCATCACGGCGCCAAAATTGAGCACAACTCACTTTTGAATCTTGAGTACAACCGGGTACATGTGCTGTATGTAGTCGAGGTCGCTAAAGATGAATGTCGACTCTGGGTCGAAGCCGCAGGCGATGATGTCCTTTGCGTTCTCGAACGCTAGCCTGTGGCACTGTGTGTGACCGACAGAGCAGAGACCGATGGCACCCGTGACAAGAAACCCGAAAGGCAGACGATAAAGACAACGGTGCTTAGCATTGTTGAACAAATACATTTGAGTCACACAAAGAGTGTACCCACTTCAGACAATGGCGCAGTAGAGGGGACGTGTTGATATACTGTTCCTCCGGGATGGTATTCAAACGCCGGCACTGGAGTGTGGTGACCTTTGGAAACAATACATACGATCACAAAAAGACTGCGTTCTAGATGGGTTGAACGAAGTATTGACAGGGTGGGGGAGAAAACCGGCTGCATATTGGGCTTATCCTGAGTTTATTGAAGTTTGCACCTGACCGCAGGCACGGATTGCTGCACGACCGGCGCTGTCAAGCAAAGACTCGCGACAACAAAGACAGTGTCGGGGTTTGGTCGTGGCGAGCTTCACCTGCCCATGTTATTGATTATCCCAGGATCCGAAACTGCCACGGCAACCTGTACGAAAGTCGAAAAACACCGAGAAACCCTAGGAACAAGTTACAAAGCCAAAATCTAGCCGCACTGAATATCCTAAACCGCATGTTTGGGAATCACAAACGTTCACCGGCGAGGCCAGGGTGCTGTCCGCACCGTTGTCGGGTCGAGACAGCGCCAACGAAAAGTGGAAGGCAAGACCACTTCTTAGCTCTATCTGCCGGCTGGAAATACTGTACAACTGAGATTGGCAAAAATGAAGCGATTCTTTGGTGTTGTCAAACTTTACACAACAGTGTTCCATCAAAAAAACCCGAATACCAGGGAAAACACCTTCGCACCTTCTTCACCCCTTCTCGTTCGGCACGAAACGCAGCAACGTGTGCATGGGCAACACTTCCTTCCACCCACCTCTTCCAACTTGAGCTCGGGCTTGAAGAGAAACTTCTCGTCGTCTGTGAGTTGCACCACCAACGGCACCTTAAACGCTTCCTGGGAAGTCAACAAAAAAAAAAGAGATCCCCATTGGGTGGCAGAGGCACAAATGACGAACAACCAGAAACATAGGTAGGATAACAGAAGCAGAACAACGCGAGCGGTCTAGTCTTACTACAAGCAATACCATCAGGACACGTGCCGTGGGTTGTGACTGCTGCTGCCTAAGAACAGAGGCTGTTCTCATGCACTTTGATGTGATGCCAAATGAGGATCGCACGCCGGCTTCCTGGGGTGGAAATCCCTCCTGCCAACACAACAGCGTGCATCAGCATGCGCTGCTCGTCCGCAAGCTAGAAAAGCAATGACATACAAAAATTTGAAGAACCAACATGCTACAGATATTTGGCGACATTCATGAAGTTGGTACGGTGGACACGAAAACATCGAAGATCGTTCTTAGGTATGTGTCTGAAACATTCACTTCTCAGGGGCGGCAGATTCACATTAGGCATGGGATCACCAACAGAGCAAGACCCAGAAGTTCACACTGGGGTGGAAGAGCCCTCTGTCTCCCACTTGCCGGCATGCCAAAAAGGATGTTTTACTCCTATCAAAACACTTGAGAAGTAACCAACAACGGGTATAACCGGGTGGATTATCACCATCTCAGGGTACACTTAGAAATCAACACGACACCAATCTCCGACAGAATCCGCCGTAGATCGCGGCGAAACCAACAAACCGCTGTCTGTATCCTGTGTCCTGTGCCTCGGAAGCATGATGCACGAGGCAGGTCGTGCCCGTTATTCTCTCTCTCTGTCCTTTGACTGATCAGTACCACACCGAAGTGCTCGCGCGTCACGCGAGTCCGACCCTCTGTCGAGAGGGGCCGGTATCCTATGGAGGCGGTGCCCATGAACGATGAACGAGTGAGCGTTGGTGGTTTGGCTGTGTTCATGTATGTGCGGTACACGGTATGTGCGGTACACGGTTTTTTCTGTGGGTTTCAAGCTTGAGCGTCGGGCGCCGGGATTATATGACCATTTCTGGGTACAAAATTGACCTCTTCCGGGTACACCAGCAACCAATATCGGCCACACCAGAGGGTCCTAATTCCAGCGGAGTTGTACCCGATGGAGGCTTCTTCAGAAATGGGTACAATGGATTTTCGGCCAATCAGCTGACAGCCTGGGGGTGCAAGCGTGTTGATTCTGAGTGTACCCGAAAGTGGTGACGAAGTACCCAGGTATACCCGTTTCTGGCTACTGGTAAAAAAACTTCCAAGTACACTCTGGACGATGACGGTTGGCCAGCAGAGACCTCGTTCCAAAGCGTACGGGTCTCACCTGCAAGTACTTGGTGAAGTGAAAGGGGACTAGGTGTCCGAGGTGAAGGGCGTCGGAGGAGGGACCTCTCCCGGTGTAAAGGAAGAACTTCTTGCCGGCCTCGTAAAGGTCCAAAATCTGGTTCAGCAGGGAGGGGCGACGACGCATGAAAACAAGAGACAAGAACCCAACCCCCCATGCCCAAAAATATCATACACCGGGATGGGGCACTCGACGGGACGAGTGAATAGGTCAGCGGACGCCGCACCACAAGATCCACGGCGAAAAGACATCACCCACTTCGGCGGAGAGCCGGAGGCGGTTGCGCGTGTTGCAGCAGTGGCTATGCAACAGCATCAGACGACGATAACTTCCTGTATGAGCCCCGGTGCTCCCCCTCCCGAGCATACTCTAAATTCCGGGCACGAGGGGATATAGCAACACCACCGTCACTCCTCCGCGGACGAGCGGCTGCACCGTACGGGCAGACGGGCAGCCAACCGGTGTTCCTGGGCCAACCACCGAGAACCGCCCTGAATAACCGTTCCGAAGATCCCAATGACAACGCTCGACACAAACCTAAGGGCAATAGAAGCCGAAATCAAACCATGAAGGGATAGCAGCGCTGGCGAGGGAGTCACTCCCCTCGGAGTGAAAGTGGCGAGTCGTTCGGGCCCCCAAAATAAGCTTTTGTATAGAATCCGAAATCATACCATTGAACTAATCAACGCTGACTACAATTAGTCTAGTGGTGGATTTCGGCCTCTAAGGCTGGTTGTAGGTGTGGAGCATTGTGATTCTTTCGCCATGTTTCTCGGATTTCCAGAGGCAAGGAAGGAAAGCAAACGGTTACGAATCCAACACCTTAGGAGCCCCAAGTCCGCGATCCATTCAGCACTTCAATTTCATTGAGAAGGTGTTTTCCACGAGGGATCTCTCCTGGAACTCGCCTCTTCGGTACAAGAAAGAATTGATCGTCCATCACGAGGTGTAACTTCCCGGTGTCCAACTGCTCCCGACAAATCACAGAGCACGGACAAATATCACCCGAAAGGCAGATGCGTGCCCCTCGATGTTCAGGGGTATGAACCTGCCCAAGAGAGACGCCTAGGCTTGCTCTTCTAAAGTCGTCACTGCGCGTACATCCGACCTACTTCAAAAATAGGAACCCGTCAGCACTTCGATCTTGAAGAACCAGTTTCCGCAGGCCGAGCTCTCGCGGAGTCGACTCTCGGTAGAACGAAAGTTTGAGAATCATCACACGGGCCCCCCTTCTTGGAACATGAAAATACAGCATATCTTCTTTCTACTTGTGCGAATACCAGGTACGCCAATTTTGCAACAGGGGATTGATTCCGTCAGTACTTCGATCTTGAAGAACCAGTTTCCGCAGGCCGAGCTCTCGCGGAGTCGACTCTCGGTAGAACGAAAGTTTGAGAATCATCACACGGGCCCCCCTTCTTGGAACATGAAAATACAGCATATCGTCTTTCTACTTCTGCGAATACCAGGTACGCCAATTTTGCAACAGGGAATTGATTCCGTCAGTACTTCGATCTTGAAGAACCAGTTTCCGCAGGCCGAGCTCTCGCGGAGTCGACTCTCGGTAGAACGAAAGTTTGAGAATCATCACACGGGCTCCCAAGCTTGCGATAAGATAATGCGGCATTACATACTTGCACTTTCTATTCCTACGAAGTACTCGAATTTCGCAACAGGGGATTGATTCCGTCCGCACTTCGATTTTGAAGAGCGAATTTCCGCAGGCCGAGCTCTCGCTGCGCAAACTCTCGGTAGGACCAAAGATATATTTCGTATCACGGGCCCCCCTTCTTCGATTATGCTAACAAGCAGCATTTAATACTTTCTATACTACTTTTTATTAAGTATGCGAATTTCGCAACAGGGGATCCATCAGCACTTCGATATTGAAGAATAAATTTCCGCAGGCCGAGCTCTCATGGAGCCGACTCTCGGTAGAACGAAAGTTTGAGAATCATCACACGGATCCCCTCTTGACTTGCCGCATACCAGCGGTCAGCTTAAACTTACAGACTCTCGCTATTGCACCACTGCGACTTGTCAAAGCCTATATTATGGATAAACCCATCGATCATCATCTAGAAAAATGTCAAGATGTGCGTACGGCCGCACACTTATCTTCCATCTGTCCAGTTGTGCTTCAACGGTACATGCACTGACCACACAGCGGAAAACAAGAAGTAAAACGATCATCCGCAGGTGTAGCAGGCCATCTTCCGAAGCGGAGTGTCAGTCCCAAGCACCACCAACAACTCAATAACTCAACACATTGGAACAAGGACACAGACGGAACAAAACGAAAGGGAGCCACAAACCCCTTGCACTCGTCACCACAGATGAAGATGTTCACCTGGGTCAAATCCCTGTGGGAGAAAAACAGTCCTCTTCGCAAGAACCGGTGTGCTTTCCTTCCCGTCACCCTCTCCACCCTCGCAACGATGTCCTCCGTAATCAAAGACGACCCGAAAGACTTCACCAGCTTCTCGTAGTCCACCTCCCCATCCGCCTGTTCGTGCAGCAGTTATTTTTTTTTTTACCAACGAAACCTGATTCATGACCACAGCGGTCCTCGAGATATTTCTTGGAAGTTCCGGTTGGTGCGCTCGTGGCTGTGTTTGAGCATGCGCCGTGTACAGAAGGTTCAACGCGGCATTATTCTCGACGAGGCGAAAGACGAACTACTTCACGAAGCAAATCAAGTCGTCCCACCCGCGGAACCCGGCGAACAGCGTCTCGAACGGGAAACATAGCACTGACAAGGGTGGACTACGTTGTTGTCTAGCTGCAAGTGTTTGGCATGACAGCAACCATCAGCCCTCACGACACTCAAAACAATTCGACGTTCCCCACCACCCAGACAGGAGGTCAAAATCACGCATCAGTTCAGCAATCTCTCCGCCAACCAGAGTGTCCGCTCACCGCTCACAAACAGAACAAGAACACCACACACGGTGCCTCGCTTACCTCCACCTCCCAAGGAGTGACCTTCTGCCCCCCCTCCGCCGCCGCCTTCCCAATCTCTTCAACTCCGCCCTCCACCCCGTCGTCCGCCGACACTCGAGCCTCGGAAGCGTTGAGTAGCGCAACCGTCTCCGCCGAAGGGGGTACACACTGTGGGGGTGTCGCAGTATCATCCGGAGGGGTGTCCGTCGAGGGCTCCACGTCGAACATCACCTCCAGCTCCTGCTTGTTGACGCGGAACTTTTGCTGCGGGTGGTGCAACACGAGGGGGCAGGGAGAGTGTGTGCGGGGGTATTCACAATGCTGGCCTTGGTCGATCACAATTCCGCGCCGTTGTGAGTCAGGAGACATTGGAGCCTGGGCGGAGCCATCGCCATAACCAAGACGTCGCTACTGTTACCACCCCGGAAATAAGGGGACCATTCGGCACAAATATTTGCACCCAAAAGGTCCGTACATCCTCAAACAGAGCGGTACAGACAAGCACCTCATGACCGCAGTCCATCCGGACCTACTATTTAGAAACAACAGGGAAAATGAAAGCGTGAACTATGAGTACGAGGTTTCGGCCACAAGCACCAACAGCCCGATTGTCAGGACCCTGTGCCACATCAACGGTCCACATGCCCACAAGGTTACATCTCAAGTGACCCCCACACCTTCGTGACAGAAACCTTGCCCACAGGCGCCGTCGACGGCAAGCACGGGTGCAGCTGGCTGTGAAGCACGAGACCTTCGATGTACAGGAGGCTCAGCTCCTCCACTTGCGCGGGGGGCTCCACTACGTCGTACCTTATTTCGGACGGCGAACGAGCAACAGCATGTTTAGCCGTGTACCTTCTTCGGCCGCCAAACGGAAGAATGTGTTCAGATGGGTCGTCAAGTCTGAGGGCAATCGAAGGGTGGAAGAAGAGTGTGCGCGGAGCTTTGCTCGGGGCGAATCGGGGCCTTTACTCAGTCTTCGGTAGAATCTCGCCAAACGAAGTAAAGGGGCGTCCGGCACCTTTGTTGTGCGGGTACTCCCGTGTCTGATGCATGTACGTCGTGTGACCGTGGGAGGTAACGAGGACCAGGTCAAAACCCTGTACACCCCGACAGCTGTGAGTGATGCTCTCAACACGACTCACCATAAACAACGGCATGTTTCGATCCGTCGTACTCAATGGCGGCCGCTGGTGACCTCCACCGGCGTTCGAGTATTGTCAGCTGCCGGATATTTCAGCGTTCCCGTCAATGAAATCACCTGACTCCCGCAAGCCTGCCAACCGTGTTCTATGCCCACCAAGCCCGGCGGATACATAGGCTCGGCAGTATAACGCACGAAATCCTTCTCGTACTGATACCCCTCCGTCGGTCACGCAATCTCGGTTCTCTTAATCTCTCGCCCCCCTCTGTCCTTTATCGGAGCCACTCACATGGCGGAACCGTAGGCGACTTCGGCGTCTTTTCTGGACATGGTGAGCCGGAAGCATGCCTGGTCCTTTGCGATGGTCTCGTTGACGACGTCGACCACCTTCTGCATCTGCGCCGCCGTGGGGGCCTCAGCCTTGCCCGTTTTCTGCCAAGGCCATCGGTCGGCAATAAGCATTTCGTCATGAGATAAAAGAAGACGAATTAATACAGATCCGGACGTCGGTGATGGTAATTGAAGCAAGACTTAACGCATGCGCACCCCCTGACAAGTGCGTTGTGCGTAGGATCCCGAAATTCGTGAAGCCTATCCGGCGGTGCCCCCTGGCACTACTGCTGCGCCACTTGCTCGGCACTGCTGCTGCGCCACTTGCTCAGGAACGCTGTAGATCCCAGAGCGATGCTTCTTGGGAAAAGGAAACGACACAACAGAACTCGAGAAACACCGGCAACATCATGACAAGGACGGATTTGACGCTGCAAAGCTCTCATGCTGCAGCATTGGGGTGGGAGATCGAACTCGCGCAGATGGCAACCCAACAATGCGGTGCCACGGGCAACACAAGAGTGTTCACTGAATAGCATCCGCATAATCCTACCAAGTCACTATGGCGGACAGCATCAGTGCAATAGCTCTAGTGCCTACCAATGATGCTTGCGTGCATACGCAACATGTTCATCGATACCTGCAAGTTGGACGGAACAGGCTTCGACGAGTCACAACACACTCATCCGCGGAGCTCTGCTGTACTGCTGCAGTAAATGGATGACTATTTACTGCACAACCGGGGAGCCAGTTTTTGAAAGCACACTTTCGTCCTAAACAACCTGAGGTACAGACTGAAGCACTGAATCGTGCCAATTGCAAGCCAGCCAATGTGCCTTTTGATTGCTCTGCCCCACACTGCATCGCCGTCCATGCCGCAAACAGCAGACCCGAATACGACGCAAGACAGCACACCCCCTCGAGCGATTTTCAAAGCTCGATTACATAGTCCACGAAGAAGGGAATACATCACGAAACGATACGGTTTCGGAGACCTCTCTACCAGACGGCTTCAACGCCACCATTTTTCGGCACTGCGAGCCTTTCTGCTGTTGATAAATGAAAGTCAGTCTAGGGGGTGTGGTATCTTGTGTCGTATGCGGCAGTTCACGAGCAAGGTCAGCCGCATACACACACCGTGCACCGACCGTACGACCTTCGTCTCTTCCAGCAGTGCACAAGCTTCGGGCCTGTCCAGCAACACAACAGGCGTTGCACCCGTTATAGTATCACCCCTCGCCATTCCGCACACTCACCACAGTGATGCGAGCCTTGTTGCCCTCGCTGATTCGGCTGCCGATGGTGGACTTTCCTACGGGGAAGCCGATGACCGCACACAGAGCTCCCTTGACGATCTCAAGTGCCGTGGTCATGGTCGGCGTTCGAGGGTCCACAGCAGTCGCCATGATTGTTCCTTCCTCTCGCTACTTCGGAAGCGCGCAGTAGAGGGATAGACTTCACTGAGCCGTTGGGTAAGAGCGTGTTCAGCTTGTCATGGGCTTGGCAGTACCCGCGAGCCAAGCGCACCGTTCAGTACTGCCCTGCCCCACGAGCGCTCTAGGAGAAAGGTTCCACATCTCTTGCACGTACCATCAAGAACCTTAAACGGTAGTTGCGGAGCCCCCATGCTGGCGTTGAAACCTGCCGCCAGCTGCTGGCGTGTCTCCTTCTGTCATGTCTACTGGCTCCAGTGAGGTAGAAACGATGACACCACCATCAAGATCGTGATTGGACTTCTGCTGCTGTCTAACGTGCCTCTGTCTAGGTGTCGCCGGGACTGCAAGCGGCCCTAGGCCTGCGGCGGCGTGTCAACGTGTCAACCGAAACAAGAGAGTGCGGAAGAACTGCCTCAGAGCGAGATACCCAAGGAGATCAGAGCGGGAGCAGCGAGAGCGATACGAGAGCGAGATGATCATCCACTCCGGCCTGGCGAGGCACATCTCGTGAGTGACGATGCGATGAGCTAGGCTACTGCCGTACATCTCTTTGTAGATGCTTGCTTGCCCCCTTACAACCACCAAATACAGCAACAACACCTTGGGTGTGAACGGGAACACTGCATGCAAAGGAGGGTGGGGCGGGGGCACCAGTCTTGAGCGGCAAAGAGAAGCGTCGCGTGAGCAAAAATCGCGCCGATGAGATCTCTAGTAACTCTCCTCGTTCTCTTTCCAGTCTCCAAGCTTTCCGACTTTGCCACCATTGGATGCACTCCGATCAAAAATACAACGGTTTGTCTGAGCGACACGTCGAGATGCGAAGTACACTGCTCTTGTCGACAGTACACTGCTGTTACAGGTAGCAGCGTAGTTTTTCTTGATTCATACACTATCGCATGTTGCAATACACAGGGCATTGAATGCGATGTCGTGTGCGGTACCACCGTTTGAGCTGTTCTCCTTGTTCTTTCAGGAAGGACCGTGCGGTGTGGCCCACCTGCAAAAGACGATGAGCGTAGCCACCAAAGCGGGAGGCACCCTACCCGCCAATATCGTGTTTCACGCCTATTTTCCCTTGTACCCGGTACCATTCATCCTTGGTACACAACAGCACGCGTTGACCAAACCTCCCTACCCCTTCCTCTCTTTTGCTGTCCGTGCATTATTTGTCTTTCCCCTCGGTCTATCCGAAATTGGTGAATTTGCCTCATCGATACGTTTTTTCGGAAGGGTTCTGCTGGGCTACTTGTATCCTGGGCTGGCATCAGCGAAGACCGCCGTACAGCAAGACCCCGCCGCGTTCACGCAGTGGATGACGTACTGGTGCGAAGACGCTTTCCCCTTTGTGATTCGCCCCGTGGTCGTAGCTGTGTGTAGTGGCATACAATACCTCGCCGTATTTCGCGCAGGGTGGTTCATTCCTAACACCATGTCGGACGCACGGATCTTTGTCAGGCCTCGTCCGCGTCGCCGCTGCACAACTTCGTTCGTTGCTGCATACTCTAAGCTGTTGTTGGCGTCGTCGCGGTGCGCGTCCAGGGCACCTCTAGAAGGAAGTACCCTCCCGGTTTTGCGGCTATTTTGTTATCCTTCGCGTCATGGAAATAGCGCCTCGTACAAAACTGCTGCCCAGTAAACACGCTCGTGAGGTGCCGTCACAAGCGTTCTGGACTGCTGTGTTTCCGGGTCATGTGTAGGCGGTGTGTGTGGCACTTGTTAGACCATGGTAGGTCCGCAACAAGCGATCCCTTCCTTGTTCCTCCCCCAATCGACTGGCCCCCTTGAGATCGACTCGTGTCCGTGCGGCCGTTCCTTCTCCGTTTTGTCATTGGAAAGCTCACCCCGGCGTTACTGGCGTGTCGCTCGCCGTTGCAGGGTGGTCATGTCCGTCTTTGCTTTGGTGGAGATATTCGTGGACTTCTTTGTCTCATGGTAAGAAAAGAGCGAGAAAAGGGCGAAGCATGCGTTTTGCGATACGGTGTCTGCTCAATCTCTGGGGAAGCGCAGTCGATTAAATATCCAGTAGGCGTACCTGGGTGTGCCAACTCTGCGCTATCATCGGCGGGATTCGGTTGGTAGACATTGCTCGTGTCTGAAACGCCTAGGAAAATCTAGCTCACCCTATACGCTGCTGCATCATGTACCATGTGATTGATCGCCTCACGTACCCCCCTTGTTTGCGGCCTCCTGGCGTCACGTTTTGGTGCTTGTTCTGTCTGTGCCGTGCCTTCCTTTGACAGGGTGCCGTTCTACTACGAGGCGAAGATCGTGCTGATCGTGTGGCTCGCTATGCCGAGATACCAGGCAAGCCATACGGCCGTGTGTGGGTGGTTTTTGCGTGGGTTGGACGGTAGTTGCCCCGTTTTTAATTCCTTCAGCGCGAGACACAGGCAGCAACTCGTACTAGTGGTTCTCTGCGAAACAAGAGAACGACCATGTATGTAGTAGTTTCTTCACTTTGGAGATGCCACTTGACATATGTTTGACTCCTCATTCCGCTCAGCCTTTTCCCGCCACACCCCGCGGTTCATGAAAATCGACTTGGACAGGGCGCTAGCCAGATCTACCGTAGGCTGCTGCATCCCTACCTGGACAAGTACGAAGACAACATCGACAACGGCTTGGAGGAAATGAGGGCCGGGGCCACCCGCCGGATCCAGTCCTTAGGGGCCAGCGCCGCTACGGAGATCGCGAAGGCGGTTACAAAACAGGGATCCACGGCGGTAGGGGTCGCCGCATGCAGGCGGATGGATGGGTCTTTCGCACGTTGTGGATCGTTGGAGACGTTGGGAGGGCGGCGAATCATTTTCCGAACCCCGGGAGTTGCATGATGCGCGATGGTGTCCTGCCAGTGTCAATTGCCTGCATAGCCCGTGTGCGGCGGTTTTCTCTCTTACTGTGTTGGGTGGTTGATCCGTATGAGGGCACATGAAGCGCGCGCACAAACAGCGCTGGTGTCGTGCTCGGTTGGGTTGGTATCCTCCGTCCTGTTCAGTGGCGCTTTTTATGTTTTCGTTGGTTTACCTCCGCCCACGCCGTGCTTGTCTTGTCCCGCTCCGCCGGCTCATTGCTATGATCCCGCTCCTGGTGTTACCACTATCCGCAATTGCGTTGTCTCCGCGGAGGACAGAAAGATCTCATGCTGGCGCGTGTGCTTGGCATCGCAGCTGCCGGGGATACGGGCGCGCTCGATGAAAGGTGTATTGCCATTTTCTCTTGCCTCTGTGTGTTCGTTGCTGGTGCTTGTTTTCCCCTCGAATACTCTTGTCACACCGCGTCCATCATGTCATGCCGTGTCGTCTACTCAAACCGGTAGACAGGAGTAACAGCCCTCTCCCTGGTATTTTCAAAGTCATAGGTCATCTGCGGAAGACGGGACCGCAGTTCTGTCTCAGCCTCCATGCATGGTCAGGTTCGCAGCCCCCTCCGGCCGGTTGGCCTCGAATGGCTCACGGGCAGATGCTTTGATGTTATGTCATGTGGTGACGGGTTGCCTCAGAACAACAGCGCGGGTGGGGAAAAGCGGTACACAGACCTCATCAGCCGCTAAAACACAGCAGCCAAAGTCACAACGTGTCAAATTGAGCCAGTGCTCCCAACCGGCATGAGGCCGTCATTGCCGGAAAGGCCATACCGACGCTCATCACGTCCAGGTGCATCTGAAAAACGTGTTTCCCGAAGTCAGCGCCCGTCAGCGATTTAGCGACGATGTCTGCATGCTATTCCTTTGTCCGGGACGTACTCCACCCCGATATTTCTAGTCTACCAAGCCCTAGCGTAATGGTGCCGTGGGCCGACGGAGCCAGTGATTCCAACCGACCCACCAAGCACAGTCAGTGGTGGAGAGCTCATGACGAGAGGTCAACGGCAAGGACTCATGAGAAGGTGCCACCGCACACCCTCCCCACCATTAAAATACGAAGCCTTGTTTTTTGTCCGTGGATGTCTTTATTTTTTCGCCAGGCCCTTGCGGTCCGCTCCTACTTCACCCATCCCTCGGCCAACGAACGATACCGAGGGAAATTCGCGAAGGCTAGCTTTAGAGGAAGAGGAGGAAGAGGAGGAGGAACCAATAGCCGCTGCGAACACGAGCATGCTGCTAGACTTCATGGAGGTTATGAAGGCCGGGGTGTTTGTGCAAGCACGGTCCTCGCTCGACGGTGGGGTAAGTCGAAGGCTACCAGGCTGGCGTTATTGCTATTGTGCAGTTGCTGCTTTGGCCTTTTATGCCGCAAGAGCGAAAGCACTGCGGCGGGACGAGTCTGTTGGGGTCGTGAAGAAGCAATGCAAGGAGTAGTGCAAAGCCCTCGGAATGGAAACCTTGTGTGAACGTTATGGTGGAGCAGGCCGATCTACTTCTGGGGCGCTGTTGTCGTCTACGCGGTACATCACCCTCCTGCTTGCAGCATTGCACATGGGGCTACCAACAAGTGCGTGTGCCCACGGTGACTTCATCCATGCAAGGCTTGACTGGTGAAAATGCGATTGTACCGTATGTATCATGTTTGTCGGAGGCTGCTGATGGAGTACAAGTGTGGCCACAACCATACTGCCGTCGTGGGGAGCCTCTGTACTTAGTGCGCTGTCTGTGCTGCCCCGTGCGTGTGCGTATGGATGTAGGGCCGTACTGAAAAATGGAGAGGAATTGGGTGCACTAGGTCAGCAGTACGCACGTTTGCACGGGAGGCTGCATCTCATACTCCCCTTGCATCCCCGACACTAACCCCGCTTGGTGTTTTATTTCCTGTTGGCAGAACGGCAACATGACATGGTGCGCTCAGAAAATCCGTCTAGTACATGGGACAAGCTGGTGCATGACGGAGCTCATCGACGGGCCGGAATCACAGTTGGATAGAGACGAAGGAGGTGAGGAGCAACGGTTTCAGGTGCTAGCGGCAGAAGCAGCAGAAGATGCGGCGTCAGACGCGTCGCTGCTCGTGTTGACGACAGACCGAGGACAGGTTGAGCTGTCCCCGCCCGGGCGCGACGACCGAGATAGTATGTTGATCGGGTTCGAGCTTTTGCTGGAGTCTTATGTTGGTGGTGATAACGGCGACAGCGCTGGCGGCGGCGGGGGTTTCAAGGAGGTGGCATTGCCGGATCGGGATATCGCGATGAGAAGGTCGAGGCGCTGGGAAGGAGGAATGGGGGAAGGGGAAGGGATGGTCTTGGAATCGACGGACGATGACAGTGACGGCGATGATCACCATCACCAACAATGAGGGCCAACAGCGGCGGTGGGCATGGACGCCCACATGTTTAGTTTCTTGCTGCTGCGACCAATGGCTGTGGAATGCAAGCTAACGCCGCTGATGTCATTGGGCTGTAGATATCCAACATGAAGCAGTCTGGGGTGGGATTCACGTGCGTCTATCTCGCTGTAAGCGCCAGGTGTGCAGGTTGGGTGCTGTTCGGTATGGTTGGGGAGTACGGGCGTCGGCTTAATGTGCCGCCTGTTGTGGCACCACGACTATGTTTTGTACGCAGGCAACAGTTGCGTGTTTTTAGTGTTAACAGTATGTAATGAACCGCTGTCTGGCATAATATGGTGGTGTGTTAGGATGGGCCGAAAACTTTGAATGAACGTCATGTTACAAGTACATTTCCGGCTTTATGCATTTTTTGGAGTGAGGTGATCGAGTGCTGTTGTGTTAGTTTTCTTGGAACTCTCCGGTTCAGCTCCCGGACACCTACCCGAAGTTGTGTTTGCATGTTCTCTTGGTGGATATTGGTCGAAGATCGGTTTTCTTGCATAGATGTTCTCACGTTGTGCTTTCGATTCTTCTCTCACGTCTGCGTGGGTGTAGAGTGTTCTCGAAGACGCACTCTTCCAGGAATTCACCGCGTTCTTGTTGGGCGATTGCCATGGCATCGGAAGCTTCTTCAATCATTGTCGTTACTGGCTTTGCCTCAGTGCCTCAACAATTGCGGATTATCATGGTTGCATGGTTATTGTTCATAGAATTCATTTTTGTTTTGGGTGAGGCATATTTCCATACCGGTCAGGGTATCTCCACACGAGAACAGCGCTGTGTTTGTTGGACGTTATTGTTCCCAACATTAATATATCGAACACATGTAGTTCGTTTGGTGTTTATGTTCTTACCCCAGGGCGTCTGCACTCAATGCGATCAAGTCTGTGTTTCGGAGACAACAGAAGAGGAAGGGAAGCCGGGAGGATTTTTCTTGTTCACATATAATGCTTCGACTCTGACCTCGAGCATGCGGAATGGCGACGCCGAAGCAGTCTGTCTTCGGAATCACCTCTGGGCCGCAGGTGTACAACCCTGCTTGCGGTGGCTGTTGGCGTCTTCGGGACGTCGCTCAAGATGAGGCTGGTTCCACCGCTGTACTGCTGTGTATCACGTACGGGGGGGCAGACTATGGCTCCGACTACGATACTGGAACATTCTCCACCTTCAGTCCTGTGATGACACGAACCTGACCCAGAGCATGTTGATAGTCCCGTGAAGCACACCCGCAATTTCCACCCATTTGTGTTGTCCCCGTTCCTAACAATACCAACTAAGTGAATTTCCGCCGTCTGTCAGGAGGAAGATTTGCACACATCATCAGTCTCTCCCTGGCGTCACAGGTCACAATATGCCAGATATTGTCGTTGGAGGCAGAGATTGTCCATCACGTGTTGAAGCCTACAGCAGAGGCCATGGAGGCGAGGAGAGCAAGAGGAACTAAATGAGGCGTTTGTTTGGCGAAACAAACCGAATAAGCCCGCCTGTGGTGTTCATTGGTTGCATCAAAGATATGTGCCATACTGTGGTAATCTCCGTCACAATATCCGAACAAAGTTCTCTGGCATGCTGCTAACATATCAAGGTTGCTCGCAAAAAGGCTCTCTGAAAAATGAATAGAATATCAAGATTTGAATCCTACTATATGCAGTACCTGTGGCAGGTTCACGTGTCGATTTTCGGTTTAGAAACTGCTCTGAAATATTGCTCACGTACTGATCCCCCACCGCTCATGCTGTCATTGACTCCCAGCGTGTTCACGTTTCAATATTGCACGCAAGATTTCTGTAGCAAAGTTTCACTCACACTTCCCAGTTATTCACGTATCCATTTTCACTCACAGGCTTCTTCGGAAGTTGCTCACCTATCAACGTCTATTTTACTCCAGATATCGAGTCCTGCGTGTTCACGTTTCGATTTGTTCTTCAAGAATTCTTTGGTATTTCGCTCACACATCAAGGATAAACTAAATGAAGTATTTGATGTTCGCTCACTTATCGAGGAGTCACTTCGAATATTGTGACTGACTTCCGGCGTGTGCGTGTTCCGATGTTTTACTTGGACACTTGTATGCGCTCGTACTTTAACGTTTCACTCCTGTTACCGGGTTTCGGCATTATCCAGTCTCGATCATACACTTCGAGTCATCGGTATGTTGTTCATATATGAAGACTCAATATAATTTTATACCCAGCACGTTCACGTGTCGGTATAGGCATAGAGGTTTCCTCGGTATGTTGCTCATGTGTCACGGTTTCACTACTATCTTACGCAAGTCAATAAAAGTGAAACCATGGTATGTACGTGAGCAACGTGCGGAAGAGTTCGTTTCGTTCAAATCCAAAAGTCGAACATGCCGAAAGTCAAAATTTCTATTGAAACCATCGTGTGTGAGCAGCATTCCAAAGACGTCTACAATATCTTATTGTCGATACGTTAACACGCCGAACGTGAAAACTGGAGTAAAACATATGTGATAACACACCAAAGAAGTCTGAAGTGAAATTTGATCTGTGGAACAAACCGGAAGCGCTTAATCTTTGTACAAACTCGCCATGAAAGCAACGTGCTGCAACATGTCGAGGAAAAATCGATACCTGAACCTGCCGAAGAACAAAAATTGTGCGTTTAAAACTTTGGCATGAAAGCAGTATACATGTAGCGCAGGCTCGACGCAAAAATCTGCAAGTGAATACGCCGGAACAGGAAATGGAATCGAACCTTGACACGCGAACGCACCAAAGGTAATGAATCGAAACGTGTACACGATAAAGTGGTCATCGACTACATGGGGCTTTGACTGATCCACAACATGCCAAGGAAGGTGAGGATTTGTCCGTCAGCGAGCAAGCCCAGCAATTAGAAAACGAAGAGACGTCAACAGCGGCCGTGGCCGGCGGTAAGACAACGAAAAAATAAGTTGGCTCCCAGTGAATTTGAGTCAAACTATCTGCGTTGGCTGAGTGACATGGTCCTGATGTGGTTAGCTCCCAACACCGTTTTCATTCTCTTCCGTCGTCATCTCGGTGCTGCTGCCCTTCGATAAGTCACATTTCGGCTTGAGCAGATTCGGTACGAAATTGGTGGCTGTGTGCAGCTGCTCGGTCGAGTTGCTGTTAGCCAACCTGCGTGCGGCGCCTGCTTTCAATCGCCAAGCGATACTTCCGATTGATGATCTTCCTTTCATCTGCCTTACACAAAGACAGCAATGCGAATTACTCTCTCCAGGGAGCATAGCCCTTTGAAATATTGAACGTGCTGAAAACATGTTGCAACGGGAAGCGGCAGGTAGCTACTCCGGCTGTTGCTCAGCCGCTGAATCAGCAGCGACGATGGCGGCAACCTACCGTGAATCACTCCACACGATGCTCATGCCCCAGAGAGACGCCCAGACGAGAGTCAGGAGCATGCTGTGTGCAGTTTACCATGGCTCACGATGGAGACACCACGATCAGCATCGAGAGCAGCTCTGTTCACCAGACTTACTCGGGTATCGCGGAGGGTAGGTAGGTGTGTTTGGAATGACAGTTGCGACGGCGACTGTATCGTTGGTGGATTGGGGTTCTGGCGGGCGCCAACGCATTCGTGCTCACATCAATCTACGGCGCTGTGAACGAAATAGATTTTGAGAGAAGTTCCGACTAGCTATATTACATGCGGCACTTAAGAGTTTTGTTGGTGCTTGAAAGTACGGCATTGAGCGTATTACAGCGAATGCTTGGGGAACTGCTTGCGGAGCTGTACCGGGGCGGAAAGGCCAGGAACGAAGGAACGACCCAGGCCTCCCAGGAAAAATATCAGATGCTTCTGCCTCGATATGTCGGAAACGCTATAGCGATATCAGAGTTTACGTATTGCTTTGAGGTATGGCTTTGAGGTCGCCACCCGAATCAACGAATATTTCTGGGGAAAGTTTGTTGACTTGATGTCAGTGAAGCGTGCTATCCGTTTGTACTCTGTTGCACAGGTGGACATATTTTTCTGGTTGTGACTCGTCGTGATGAGAAATGATGAACGTAACTTTGGTTCCTTCGTGGAAGCGGCGGTAGGACGACGATTGGTTTTGATCTGAGCTCTCTTTGGCGTTATTGGCGGTTGCGTGTGACGGCGAGTGAAAAAATCTGCACCGAAATACCTCGAACTGGTCAGGAAGCGAGTATGAGCCTGTATGGTTGGGTTTGGACTTTCTCCGACGAGGCGACGATGAGATGAAGCCGTCACAAAATAGTCTTCACTAGAGCGCAATTCCCGCGATTCAACCGCGGACGTGATGGATTTTCGGGGACATTGCGGATCTTTTGGAGCGGGTTGGCAAAGGCAATCGTCCAGATTCGAGGAGATGTTCTGAGTTGTGGTGATGAAGCCTAGAAACTGCGCACACAAACATCGACTAGAGAGAGTGGCTACTTGTTCCTCAATAGCCCTTCAGTCACTCATCGCCAATTGGGGTGGCATTCTTGTTGTTGCTTTGCTGCTCGTGCACTTGCCGCTCTGGGCAGCATCACGGATACCAGAGATAAAAAGACGCCGACGCGCACCAACATCACGAAGTTATAATCAGAGGCTCAACTGCAACGGTAAACTCAAGAAAAAAACGACGACGCTGTGTGACGAGGTGACCTGCTTCCCGATGCTAGGAAAACGTTACACGCCGATCCCCAAACTTGGGTCCCTCACCAAGGAGCGCACCATCAACTATGCAAAAGGCTCAGATTCATTTCGATCGTGGGTTGAATGCAGTGTATCTCACCACGAGCATAGGGCTCCAATGTATATACTGAGCGTAGGGCTCCAATGAATATACTCATAAGCACGATCGGCTTCTGTATGCAAACTTGTAATTTTTTTGTATCCACGACCATTAATTAATTGTTTGCGAGATCGCCTGTTCCTATCTATCCAAGCTCTGGCCGGTCCAGGAAGGACTTAGCCAGCCTCAAAGTCTCCGTAGGATTGTCAGCATGGACCCAGTGCCTGTCCGAGTACGAAAAACGAGGGATGACGTTGACGTCTTCGGAGCTCACCACATTCCCAACATCCATCTACTACATAATGCCGGAATGCCGGAAAACAAGAGGTTTTCAATCCAAAAATTTCAGAAACGTCACCGGCCATACTTGCCAAGTGTTTCTTCTCACAAAATTCTAAGGTAGTCTTCTCGCGCGTCCTAAAACTAGAGAGATGAAAATTATCATGGCATTGTGTACAACGTTTCCGGGTAATCGCTTCAACGTGACTGTCAACGAGCCAAAAAAAAAAGAAAAATGGAGTTCAGATGGCCACGGCCGATCGTGTGGTCAAACGCTCGAACGGGAGTATTGATACCTCACAACAGTGATAATCTACGGCCGCAGACACATCCACCAACAGCAGCTCCTAGCCAGGTAAAGTCTATCGCCCACCTACGGTAGCCTCGTCTGTGGCCACTCACTCACCCTGCGCCCTTGATGGTGCTGACGACGAACCTGGGGAACAGCTTGCCAATCTCCTTCAGGTGCTGTGATCGGATGTACCTGGAGTTGCCCCCTGCGACGAACAGGGCCTACGAAGAAATATGACAGAAGGCCAAGAGCAAATTTCGGGAGATGGAGGTGCGCATACACAAAAATAAACATGTTGTCTCAGAATACGATCGGGGGTGTCTGGGGGTGAAACGCATTCGCTTGAGTCAAACAGGAGGAAGGCCACCCAGGAGGTCTGATTCTTCCTCGTGCCTTCAGCAGGTTGTGACGTCTCAAGCTAACAGCATGGAGACGCTAAGCGTCATAAGGAACGCAAAGCGCCAAACACCTCAGGCGAAAACGAAATGACAAACTTTGGCACGAGTAATTCCTCCGATAGTCGGCTCATGAGAGAGCGCACAGTCATCAAGGGTCGATCATGCAAGATGAAAATATAAAACAGGTAGCAAACCAGCCCGCAGCCAGCTGCCGGCTGCGGTGTGACGTTCGCCAAGCTCAACGGCGTACACAGCTGACGCGATTGTGACTCGAACAAAGCAGCGAACCTCAACAAAGCAAAAAGAATAATCGCATATCTGTAGACGGTCTTACACCAGGAAAAGCAAAACAGCGCAGAAACCTCGAGAATAAGCAGAAGACCAGTACCACCACCATCGGCGTCACTCACGTCTCCCTTGTAAGCCCCAAGCTCATCCCCATCACCGTCACCCCCTCCACCCCCTTTGAGGCGTCCATCAATCTCTTCTTGGTGCAGCTTGCCCGAGTCAAATTGAGCCAGCACTCCCATGGATTGCTGGATGGCGTCAATGTTGATCCTCCAAGCCCACCCTCCACTCGCTGGGTCCTTGTCAAGGTTGGTTACCGCGAAAGCTCTGAGGGCTGGATCCACGATATCCTTAGCGAGAAGCTGGGGTATACATCGGGATGTGCCCAGCGAGGCACGCAAAAGGAGACCCACGGAGAGCGAAAACAGGCGAAATTTTGACCGATCGACAGCCAAAGTTCACAAAAACACAGACGTAGACACAGCGATTTTCACAGGGAGTGTTATCTTCTGTGGTGGTTCCTGTGGACAAGCTGTGGGTAGTGAGGGCAACAGCTCCGGGCGGATCGGGATCACGAACATTCTTTGACAAGTGGATGTACCACCACAAACTTGACGCGGTGGAACTAATTCGGACGGGCGTCGGCTCGGTTAAAAGGCGTAGCTGGACGCCGCACATCGATGAAGGTGGAAAATAGGGCTCCTCTTGTGGAGTATGTGAGTTTCGGTGAACGCCCCATATCAGCCAGACAACGCCAGAAGATGAAAAAAAAACGCACCACATCATTTTTGGGAAGGGCAAACACGGCGTTCTTTGTCAAACTTTGATCTAAATGCTCCGCTGATTACCCTGAAGGGTGACGACCACTCCAACCACACGCCGAGAAACAACAAAAAAAGACACCACCGGAGCAAACCAAGACAGCCATTTATCCACTCACCCAGAAATAGAAAACACAATAGCAGCGTCCCAACAGCAGGTAGCGATAACCTCTACCAATTCAACTCGAGTGAACACTTTACCTCGCCAGCGCCGGAAACCAATCATAGAAACGTGCACAACCAAATATAGCGTGAAAAACGCTACAAAAACCGAATCCTGACTGACAAAGGGCTGTTGCAACGCCGAAACATTAGAAGCTAAACGGGCACCGCCTATGCTCTGAGCGCATTCTTGCACGTGGAAGTCACCAGACAACGTGCTTTGAAGACTGGCACGGCGAGCAAGCACCAAATTCAGCGACATACAAAAATAGCTCGAATCTCTGCTTCATTATTTCACACCTCGTCGGCATCTCTCCTGCTGGTTACCCCTTCCAGCGGCATCTTGTGAATGGCCTCGATTATCTTTTGCGTTTCCCCCCAGTTTGTTGCGTCCACCCTGGCCGATTGTGGCAGCGGAGTCATCAGGGTTCGAAACCACCTTTCACACATGTTGCTTTTCGCAGGATCGAAGGCCAACGTGCAGGGTTCGGAAAAAGATGAAGGTTTCGCGTCTGTTAGCGTCATCTCGACCGCACCTGTGTGCCGGCCGTTCGCTTGCAAGCATACCCGTACACCATGCAATTGCTCACGGTCACCGCTGGTACCTTGGACACGTGTGGCGCACAAGAGAAACCAAATCACGTAATGTCCACTCTGTTCGTATTGTTTCAGATGTACCGTCACAGTGGTCACCTACAGCTACAAACGCGGGGATGTTCTGGCGACGAAGACACTATCCTGGTGGTAGGTAGGACAACCACCAACGAGACGTTGCTGGTGCTGCAGAAACAAGGCACGTTAACGTGCGGAGAGTTCGGTCTGATGAATCGCACGTACAACTTGGAAGGGTATAGACGACATTACAGTAAATCCCAAATAATGTGCCTCCACAGGAACGGCAATATTATGATCCCACGGCTAAAAGTCATCCAGACGAGTAGGGCTGCCAACTCAACAGGGCAAGCATTCGTCGAAAAGTGGCACGATACTACGCTTCTGCGAGACAGAGGGCCGCAGGTGAACGAAGCGCACGTAAAAATGAGTCCACCAACGAAGAGACGAGAGACAAGTGGAAAGAGTTCGACTCTCCCATCTTACATCGAGTAGCTGACGGGGGCGATGTCCATGACGACCAGCCCCTTGACTACTTGTGGGTGAAGCAGCGCCGTCATGGCGGCGGCCTTTCCTCCCATGCTGTGCCCAATCAGCACCGCCTCTGACAGTCCCTTGCATACCAAAAACCAATGGGAAAGATAAATGTTTTACCGTAGTTGGACATGTCGTCGTTGGTCCTGGTATGCATACATGTACCGTCACAAGAAAATCAAAAGGCGGAGGTAAAGTAACAACTTGGGTAGCCCGCACGGGGGTACGCGGCAGCAGCCCTGGCCGTATATCCTTGCCGAATGATGTGTCCAGAAAAAATCGGTGATGCGTGAATAATGACGTGATAACTCTCCAAGTAGTACACACAAACACCCAGTGCATAAAACCCGTCGTATCGACGAGCATCGACACAAACCCGCAACGCGTTCACCTTGTCCGCCAAAAACCCAAGAACGTCGTTCGCCATGTCGACGTACGTCATGCTATCATGGTGAGAACTTGCTCCATGGTTGCGCATGTCAACCGCGAAGACTCTTCTCTCCTGATCCAGACTCTGCGTGAGCCACGGCAGTGCGCAACGGCGGGAGAAAGGGGATTCCGCGGTTTCGCAGAATGCAGGTAGGGTGGAGCGAGCTGAGCAGAACGACCGGCGTCCATGAATACGGTTCGCGTTGTGTCGAATCTTGGTCTTCACTTCACGTACGGAAGCATCTAAAAGGGAGATGTTTTCTAACTTTTTCGCATTCTTGGTTTGGGTTTGGAGAGGGGATCTAGACAGGCGAAACGCCGCGGTTGCGAATCTCGCCAGCACCTACAGCCCTTTCTATTGACATCCTGACGACATCTAATCGCCAAAGAAAACGACTTACTTCCAACTTGCGATAATTCTCTCCCAACCCCTTTCATATATTTCGCAGCAGCCTACGCAACGCGTAGATGGCGTTTTAAACGCTGCAAGGGTTCAACATCCAAGGGGCAAAGCGCCAAACAAGCGGGAAGCCGCGCGGACACACTGTAGCACATGTGCATGTCTTGCTTGCCTTGACGAGCTTCGTTCCCCAGCCCTGAAAGTTGCGCGAATTCCCCAACAAACCGTGCATGATGACAACCGGCGCGAACGAGCTGCTGCTGGCGCTGGGGTTGAAATCGATGCTCTCCAGCTTCGCCGCGCCGGCCGGTCTCGCGAGCTGCTGCTTCGTCGAGGAGGACAACACGGCAGCGTTCGCGCTCATACAGGGTCCGCCGCTCCTCCTACCGCTGTGGTCGATACACCTGCCGTGAGCGGCCGTTGTGCGGCCACGGCCATTCCACGACCCTGGGAAAGGAGAAAATACGAAGAAGTTGCATGGCGTCCACGTGCCACGGGGATGAATACGTACTGTTCACATCAATGCAAGGCCAAGGGAATGCGGTGACCCTCTACAATCCCTTCCGCCCTACAAGCGCTCTGTTTGCATGGGTATCGGTGGAGAGGATAGTCTGCATCAGTAGATTACGCGGAGAAACTCCTCCGACAAAATTCTAGTGTTCGACACTAAACCCAGCCACAGACAGCACTCAGTACACCTTTCACTCTGGCCCTTCAAAAATGCCCAGGGGTTTGCACAAACCTGAGGCAAACGAAGAGCTGCTGTGTACAGGGGTCATGAAGCCGAAACACATGGGGCGCGTCGAAGGAAAACCTGACAGTCCCGCCGAGCGGCACCTGGGTTTTTGTACCGGGATGGATAGATGCATACCAGGACAGAGCAAAGGCGATGTTATAGCAAGCAGGGCGTTAAGGGAAGGGCTTGATTGCCCAAGCACATTGTCTGCAGTGATGTTCGCGTTGAACCTACGAAGACTGGCACAGTGCTGCTGCCAGCTGCTGCCGACATCATGACCATCGCTGAATAGGCTGCGGCAAACAGGCATACGTTCTGCTCTATTTTGGAATTTTTTCGTCGCGTCATCGCAAGTTGCAGGGTTGTAAGAAAAGGCACACGATTCACCCCCGGGACGTGGTGGCTTCACCTGGCAATTACTGCAGCCATCTTGAGAAATCGTACAAGATGTTGCACCATCACGCGCCGCGCTCCAGTTTGTTGCAAGCAGACGGTGTGTACCTCTGGAGCGCAGGAGCGACGACGCGACGACACATGAGGGGGGGCGCATTGGGATACCCGTTGGGGGGGTAAGGAGACATACCGTGCTTTCATTGGTCAGCCGATTAGCCTAACCGTCCGCCTTTATTCCGCATGTTGCACCACGCGTCCACCACTGCACCACTGCACTTGCCCTGGGCGGGTTCATCAGGGAACGTAGCTGGACAGCTGGTGGCTAGTTGAGTTGCAACGGTTGCACTTGCGCGTTGGAGCAACAACGAAGAAGCGACTGTACCTCTCCCAGACGGATTGGATTTGGAGCTGACTGCCCCGCGTATGGTGTGCTCAGCAAACCATGTCTAATGCTCCCTCAGCGGTGCGCTCCGGCGTCTTGATCGTGTGGGACTTTGATTGGTGAGTGCGGCCGTCCCGAAAGAATGCCGTCAATTCATCGGGTGCTGGGCACATTAATGAACATGCTGAAGGGTCGGACTGCATACTGCGGTGCGCATAACCTGTTCGTATCAATGTCATCACCACAAGTCTAGACTATTTTTCAGAAGAGTCCAAATACGAAGTGCTGGTTTCGTTGCTACAGCAGTGTTGCGATGGTTCGAACAGAGGTCAACGAGCATTCGTCAAATGATTGTAAGAAATGGACGATTCGCATGCTGTATGGATGATTCGCATGCGGATATATTGTCTACATGGAGTACTACACAGCTGTATGGAGTGGTACCCTGCTGTACGGGTAGCACTTTTGAAAACTCAAGGAGAAATACAGGGGTTAGCTTACATTGTTTGCCGACCCCACCCGCATGCTTGTACAACTGTAGGTCTTTAGTGAACGAGAACAGCGACACTTGGGTGATCAAGCAGCTGGGACAAGAACTCATGCCCGAGTTCCGCCGCCTCCGTGAGGAGGAGAATCTGGGCTGGACACAGATCATGAACCGGCAGATGCGGAGCTTATGGCAGAAGGGGGTGAGAGCCAAACCGTGCCACGTTTTTACCGGTGCATCAGCTGAGATCGCACGTAGTTATGTGCATTTCCCTTCCGCAAGACTTCTTCTGTGAACAATGGGCACGTTTGGAGGCAAACCAGAGATACAGAGGAAAGATTTGTTCGGACTTCGTGAGCAGGCTCTAGACTAGAGTTCGTATCGGTTCCCAAGTGCTGCCGCTGCGCAAACGAACCGGCCGGCTTGCCCCTACCTGTAAGCTGGCAGAGTCATCGCCTCGAACCACATTTCCAACCCTGTCGGACGGGTCCCATAACACGGCAACAGACTGCGGTAGCGGGGCGTGTATGACAAGGTACACCGCACCGTTCCGCATCTCCTCGGAAAATTTCGAACCGTGTTACAAAATTTTGGGTGTGATGGGCACCTGCAACCACAACAGATGAAGCAGCAGTATATTCCCCGTCTATCTGGTGCGTTATTATTTCAGGGGCCTTGTCACAGCGATATTTCAAAATGCTTGCGCCTGGAATGGCAATGGATATGGCGTCCTGGCGCTTTACGTCTCTTTGTGTCTCCCCACACGCACGCGCATATTCCCTCCCTTCGTTCTTTGGACGGTGCTCTGCTGCAGGTAAGCGAGAGCGAGATCAAGTGGAGCATGTCCCGCTTGCCGGTGTACCAGAGGATGCTCGACGCGGTGTGTCTCGCGGGGAGGGTAGGGGCGCAGCAGGCGGTGGTGTCAGATGCCAACACGGTGAGTGAGTGAGTGAATGGGTGAGTGAGTGAGTGAGTGAGTTATACAATCACAACTATCCCAAGAGGCAGGTTGGTTGTGTTATTTTGTTTGCGCGGTGGGTGCTACTTCGGGAGAAAGCTCTTCTCGCTTGTCTGGCCCGCACGGTTGTTGTTTTCGAGCTTTCGACGTTGATGCTGTGACTACCGCTCGTGGAAGGGCCGATGTATCGATGCGTCACCAACCGATTTCTTCAGACTTTGCCTGTGCTACACGTTGCGAAGCGCGTTGGATCGTTACAGCATCCCGCCTTTGTAGACATGAACGGACTACTGTCTCTTGTGTCCTAATCGACAACGCCAGCCAGCTAGATCCTCGTCCTTTTCACGGATACACATTTGTGCCCCGTGACGCTTCAGGTGTTTATCGAGGAGTTTCTCAAGCACCATGGGATCCGCAGTCTGTTCGGAAAGGGAATCAGCACCAACGGTGGCGTTTTCACGGAGGACGGGCGGCTGGACGTGCAGCCCTATCACACCAACCAAGCGGCGCCTCACAGCTGCAGATTGTGTCCTCCGAATATGTGCAAAGGTGGGTCAAGCCAAGAGCGGCGGGCTCTACGCCACATGCCAAGCGATGCGCTCCCGTGCTCTCCGGTGACAATGCGCACAGTTTTTTGTCGTGGCTGCAAGCGTGGTGTGTGTGCGTCCCTCTACCGCTTGTTTCTTGTGGAGGTTGTTCGCGTGACGGTCTTCGTTCTCTCGCTTTGCAGGCTGGAAGGGTCTACGGGTGGTGCCGTGGTCTGTCAAATCCTCCTGAGGGGCTTGCCTTCGCTCCGGTAACAGCGAATAAGTCTGATGTCAAGTCCCCCGATAGTCGGAAGTAAAGCATCATGCCACACCCTCCCTATCGCCCAGGTAGTGTAACTTCCACCACCTAGGGGAGCATTGTATTGTGCGGTGCTGAGACCTCGTTGGACCTTCGTAGTCAGAGAACCTTGCGGGTCAGGCCAGGCATGGGCGTTTGTCGTACGAAAGACGGCGGCTTCTCTGGGCAAATGTTGGGATGGGTTTGCTGTTGCAGCCCTAGTTCCAGCTGATCCTCCTGTGGATATCCGGCTGCAAACCGCGTTGGATGTGGGCAGGATTGGCATGGTCACACGCACGGCCTCGGGTTGCGTTCCAAGTCTAAACCAGGACATCGCTACGCCTGTGCGAGTCACGGATATTGCGCTGGACAGCTCTCAATGCGCGCACTTGACTGCTGTTGACCTACCACATCATGCGGAAGCCTCGCTCCCCTGTTGCATCGAGCTCATGTGGCTTGCCGCTGCTGTTGGTGCCGGCAGGAAGTATTGTGGAAGGTTTACTAGCGGCACCGGATGGAGGAGAGGACAGGGCGTTCGACAGGGTGATCTATATCGGAGATGGTGGAGGAGACTACTGCCCCGCGTTGAGGCTGAGGTAAAATGATGGCCTTGATGTTGGCGCGTGTACCAGGCTCGTAGGTTTTCTGCTGGACACGATAAGAAGTAGGCTCGAAAAGTGTTCCGACGCGTAAACAACTTGTTGAATTCACTTCATGAATGCATGGTGCCTTCGACAATACCGAATACGCGAGTCTCATGCAGGGCGTTCTCGCAGTTAAACAAGCTCGACGCAGAATCGCTGGTTTGCGGTGTAGGGAGTAGGCCTAGAAGCGTAAAGCGACGAGGGAGGGAATCGCCCCGGCATTGTTGGATGTTGGTGCACGTATTTGCATTGTGGCCATTGTGATGATGTTGACTCAACATTCGTTCCTTTTCCCCCCCTATAAGGAACGATTGGCCATCGGTAATCGGTCCTGTGGGAACAATGCTCCGTCCTCTCGAGGATGCCTGGTCAATGGTCTAACCGCTAAGGCATGCAAAACATAAGAGTACGCCCCCTATCGCGTACACCTCATGTTTTCCCAGACCTGGGGATTTGCTGCTGGCAAGGGATGGGGGGGAGGGGGGACGGAAGTTCGGGCTACGAGAACTAATAGAGAAGGAGGAGGGCGGGCCGATGGCCTGTCGGGTGGTGCCCTGGCAGAAAGGAGAGGATGTGTACTCCGCCTTCGAGAGCGAGCTAGTAGGGGTACGGGAAATGGCGGCCTAACCACGAGCAGTCGGCGCGGTTGCCGGCGTTGGGTGGCCGGCAACGGCGGACGGTATTTAGCCTGCAACTCGTACATAATCATATAACACGTGTGAACACTTGGAAATTTGAAATGCCCACGACACCGCAAGTGCGACCGGCTACAAGAAACGCAAGCGTGTGATTTAGCAGAAAAGAAACACTGCCGAACGACTTGCGGCAGCATCATCATTGCATGAACCTTGAATAGGACGGTGCGACGTCCTTGTGTCATGCCGTACGTGGTCGGTTCTCTGGTGCAGTCCTGAAATTCAAGCTCGGTGAGCCACTACCCCGAGTTCGCGAACTACGAAGGCCTCGTCAGTCGGCCTCCTCCCAGCCATCTTCAAAGCTGGTGCCTTGTTGTAGTTGAAGGGTTGAGACTTAAAGGCTACCACGTGGTCAGTTGTACAGGAGTCGGGACTAGCTGATGACCCGGTTGACACAAACGAAGTCAACCGAAAGGTTTTTTTGAGGAGAGGGTCGGAGTTCGGACGTAATGCGCTGTTGGCACCCAGGATCCAAGGACGAACGGGAAACTGTAAGGTCATCGTCGCCACTTGTCTGGCGAACCAGGAATGGAGTGGAAGCGAGACTCCTGTCCCTCTGCCACCCACGAGAAAACACTCTCCCTCGTGGCGGGGTCAGGTCTCTCCAGCGATGATGCTCCCACAGCGCCGAAGGCACGGGGCAGTATACGCGACATCCCCAATGTTCGAGGCGATATCCAACAAAAAATGTACTACTGCATACTACAGTACACCGACCGCTCCTTCTGGCTTCTTCTTGGGTCTGGGAAAAATTCCACTCCATAAAAGGAGCCCCCCTGCATGCTGCACACTAACTACGTGGGTCCATAGCATATCACTGGACGCCTCAGATGCGATTTCTTGCCTTTCCTAGCAAACCCTTAACCAAGCCAGAAGGTCTGCAAAAAGCCAACCCCAATGGCATTCCACGAAAAACGACCCCACTAGAAATGGTCTTCCACCCGTCTTTGAGTGGAATATCCCCCATACCTCTCCGTCTAACCGAGTGTCCCACTTCACTTCTTATGGCTCTGGGAACAAAACTACCGAGCTTGCCAGCCACCCTCCGCACAATCGATGGCGGTCAACCAATGATCAACGTCAGCCGAACAAAAAATCAGCCGCAGTTGGAGGCGGCACGTCGCGGTCAAGCCCCGTGCTTACTGCTTCGTCGGCCGCCCCTGGCACCCCTCCCCCCAGTTGCCGAGTGCTTCCCAGTGGTGGCCTGCCTGTGCACCGCCGGCGCTGATATGCGCCCCATCGAGGAAGACTGCCGCTCCGCGCGGATCCTTTCGAGCTTCTGCTGGGCCTCGAGTTCTGATTTCACGTTCTGATACCTGTCCAATGATTACCGCGGGCGCAGAACAGGCAGTGGTTGTCGAATTATTCCGGGCATAGACTATCTTTGATCCCGTCAAAGATGGGCGTGGGTTCCGGCGCCGATTTGTCCCGACACGCAAGAACGAGATGTTGCCCAGGAATACGTCCATAGATGTAGTGCCACCCGCAACAGTTGTGCCGCTAGGTTTGTACCGTGTCGGTATGATGGATTAACAGAAAGGGGGTCATATGGCATTGAACATCTATGTGTTATCGACAACCTGTCCAGACGTCGTTAAGTCCGGTTTTTCAAGGACATCTTGACACCGGCTTGAACTGTTTGACGAGTCTCGCTGCCCAACAATCGTCAGCGGCGATACACTGTCTCTTCGACGTCAAGGTCTACTGTACCTTTGCAGTAAACGTTCGAGGTCCATCTGCCGCTGCTTTTTTTGCTCCTCTCGGCCCGCCATCACTCGCTGGAGTAGCGCCGCCATTTCCTAGCCCCCGTAACAAAGATGAAGTAATCACGTCGGGAGCGGGGTCGTGTCGGGGACAGCAAGAATACCCGAGGAACATAGATGCCTGAACGTATCACTTCGTGTTGAAAACTGGCACCCGAGGACTCCTAACAGTCAACATAATTTCATGTAGTCCACGAAGAGCTGTGTGGTGGCGACCAAAAAGCTTGGTGTCGAACGCATCCAAACATGATCCTCGGACGTTAGCCTGACACCTTTCTCGTACGCGCAATAAGGGCAAGCCTCCTTTGGAGTTCCGCCATTCTCATGCGTTCAAGAGGAAGCGACAACAATGATCAAACAACAAGCGTTCACCCACACAAGCCACCGTGCCTCGAGTGTTCAAGGAAGTCTCCGTCGACAGGAACGACAACAACGTCTTCTTTCCCGGAGCACCTGCGCCTTTCCGTGCTTGAACTTGCTTTCCCTTTGGCACAAGTCGGCCTGCCTCTTGGTTCTCCATTGCTCCAGCTCCCAGGCTTCGAGGGCGTCGGATTTGAGCTTCATCTTGTGGGCCTCCGCGTAGTCTTTGGCCTTGGCCAGGTGCTCCTGCGTTGGGGTTTTCGGGCGAGTCACCACGTCTGGGAATCGTGCACGACGGTTGCCAAGCCATGAGTAATATCTACAATGTCTCCCTCGTAGAGCATCGGAGACAGGCGCGAACAACGTTGACTCAACCCTATTAGTCAGTCACAGCTACATGTCGACCAAAATCAAACAGCAAAAGGGGGAGGACTCGTGTCACACCTGAATGCGTCGAAGGTCCAGGAGCTCACGGCTGAACTTCGGGCGAGGCTGGGCCTGCAACAGCCTCCGCTGATAGTCGCGAAGCTCAGCGCCATGTCTCTCCTGTGAACGGTCAAACGGAATATTTTTAACCAACTTTTCCTGTCTTCTCTTGTTCTTCCCGGAGGTTCACGCAGATCCTTGCTCGCCAAAACATTCTAAAGCACAACAATATACCGAAGAAAAGAAGCTGGGAGGCGAGGGAACTGGATATCTCAACCTCTATAGCGGCCTCGAAATTGTATTCGAGGGCAATACGTTGTTTCTCCAAGCGGTCGAACCTCGATTTTACAACACACCAGGGTGAACTGCTTGGAGCTTCGTGCACAACACGTTTGTTCTCCGGATGTTTGGGGTAGGAAGGAGGGCGGTAACGGGGTGCCCACGGTGTGGGTGGGTTCGTGTAGTGCACGTGACAGATCTCGCCGCCATTCCTTTTGTCGGTACCCCGTCCGAACGTCGCACAACCACCGAAAACTGTGGTTACCCATTTCCTGAGTCCGAACGAAGTGGTTTTACTGCAGAATGTCGAGGGGGGTTGTTCGAAGTGCTTATGACCACTGTCTTCATTTCGAATATTTCTTGTTGATTTATCTTCTCCCTTACGCACCCTCATGGCGAACACCATGTCTTCGGCATGGTGCTCGTAGTCTGCCATCCTCTTGTCCCAGACCATGTTGAACTGCTGGAACTCTAGCATGTGAGCCTCCTCCACCCCGAGCCTCTCCGCGATTTGCCTCGAACGCATCGCCTCCTGGGGTGATTGTCACCATCGCGAACAAGCTTTTCCTCTACTTGAGACGACGTGGGCTTCGAGTACGAGGATCTACCGTGTGCTTCACGAGCTACTGCCCAGCCAGGAAGATGAACCAAATAAACACTAGCCGAGCCCCCAAAGTTCGAGAAAAGGGCGTTCAGGACGCGATTATGACGATCAGTCGACACCCAGCAGAACACCCGAGTACCAGATAGCTGCGTTTCGTGTCCTAGGTTGGAGCGTTTGGCTCAAAGTAGTACGGAAATATATCACTTTATGGGATGGTCTCTTGGGAGACCCTACGGTCCGGCTTCGACGGGAACGTCCTGTTGGACCTCGTGACTCCCTCGGCAATCCCCATGAGGTCTGGGAGAGCTAGGGATCAGCGGATGCCAACCATGGTACGGCTCAAGACAACCACTACTCAAAGACCCCACGTAGAATGCGTGCTGCCACCATCCCAGTTTACCAACACTTTGTGTTCTGATACGAAAAAATCTCGTAACACCAACTGCGACTGAGTCGAAACAGTGATGGGTTAGATTCCTTGCCTTTCTTCTGTTTTCCTCATGAAGTTTGAGCTCGTCCAAGCGGTTCTTCGCGATCTCCGCCTCCACATACTTGCCCTGCCGCTCACAGTTGCGCCTGTGCTCCTGTTCGACGATGTTTGTTTCGGGTGACAATTCACACCCGGGTGTGTGGTGTTGGTCATCATCGAAGAAAGCGTTAGAGCACCTCGCCCCTCAAGTCGACGACCTCGATTTTTCCCTTCTGGGTATCGCTGCCAAAAAACGGGGTGTGCCTTGGGGGAGTTGTGTGCTTTAATGAAGGTGTCAGCAGCCAGTGGCGAAAGCCATGGTTATGGAAACTAGGACGAACACACACAGATGCGCTACCACGAGGTGCTCCTTGCCTGAAGCATGGGTCGCGTTGCGTGTAAATGAAGCCTTCTGCGACCGTTTACGTCCACATGGCGGTGCTTTCGGACGAAAAATAGCACGCCTTCCATTCTGCCCGTCTTGCCAACGCGGTATAGCTATCATCATACCATTTGTGCAGTACTGCAATGCACCACTCCGCTTTCGCCGTTCATAGCTACGGCAGTGGTTCACGGCAGTGCTACTCAAAATCCCAAACATGACCTTCGCCGTTGCTAGCATGATCCCGCGAGATGATGATCCTTCAGAGGCAAACATGCGGCGAAGTCTTGGCACCATAGGCTACTGAAGTGTGCCGGATACTGGATGTGGTTGCACAATCCTAGCACATAAAAAAACTGGTGATGTGCACGACGCCGCGAACGGCGTGGCCACTGGTAGAGCGCGAAAAGTTGATCACGTCCGAGATTATTGCGAACACTCGGGAAGACGTCACCCTCTCATCGAAAATGGACACCGCGACCTCCCCACGAGGTGATGAGAACAACTTGACCAACAAGTACTTCTCTCTTGCCTTTCACTGCTGTGTTCGCTGCCACCTGAGAACACTCTCATTTGAATGTAGCAGCAATTTCTTCATTGGGGACTCTGTCGACATATATATAAGTAAATCCTGGTCTAGGATGAAAGCGACGCGTTGCAAAGCTCGTTGTTAGTAAACCATAATCGAATTCGTGAGCCGCGAGGGAAGGGATTTATGTACCCTTCTCGCGATAAAAATACCTCAGGCAGGAACCGCAGGAGGGGGTCCAGCCCCCCCCTCCTATGTGACCCCGGTTGGGTCGTCTAGCTAGTAGAAGTGGAGGATAGGGGCCAGAGGGGCAGACGAGCGAATCCGATGATGGGAGAAAATATATATATATACATATTGCGCGGTCAAAATCAGGGTGCGTCGTTGAGGAGATTAGTGTAGTTTATTGCCAGTAAAGTGTAGCCCAAGTGCTCATATTCAGCTTCACTTCCGTCGCCATGCTCCTCCTTGCTATTGTAGCTTCACCAAGAGCTCTTACAATCCAACGATGTGTCCCGTGCTTCGCTTCAATTGTGCCGACCACAATCAACACATCTGTTTGAAGCATGAAAGGCTTTCATCAGCTCCCCTCCTCGTACTGTACCTCAAGTATCTCTAGGAAGTCCTTCACCGCAGAGTCCTCCGTCACTTCCATGAGCCTCTCCCTCTCTCCCCGAAGCCCCGCACTCTCACGACCTTATCGGCCTGCCGAGCCGACCGAACTGCGGCGGCGACAACGCGGTGGAATCGAGATACACTTATTCCGCCGCTTGTGATGTGGGCTGCTACTGCCGCACGAGCGGGTAGGTCGCTGTTGTATAGCTGATGTCCAGATAGACTGTTCCAGATGCAGAGATTCTTAAAAGCCGACCGAGCGAAAGCCGGGAGCGTTGATGTACGGGCGGAGGGGGGACGGGAGCAGCGGGCGAGGGGAGGGGGGACAGGGGGAGGGGCGAAGAACATTATCATTGCTTCCTCGCGTCAAAAAGTGAAACGCTCGGACCAAAAAAGAGGCGCGGCGTATTTCGCCGATATGTGCGGCGTAACTCCCGCCGGCCGCACCCACGACTGAGAAGACTTCAACACATCATTTTCTCTCTGGCCCGTGATGCTGACTCCTTGTCTCAGTTGCCACCTCGCATAGCGCGCAGAGGGAGCGGAGGACTCCAGAATATCTGTCGTTGACTTCTATTGACTTGCGGACCGCTCGGGGCATCTTTATTTGAGTGTACCTTTTTAGGGTAAGTTAGCCTGTGACCACGGGAATCGACCGTTGGATCAAAATGGAGATATGAAGGTACTGGGTAGAGATAGATCGGAACGGTTTTTATTGTGAAGAAAGCAACACCACCACAAGAAAAGGGATTTCATTGCCAGTGGGAGGGGGTAGATCGAACATAGATCGCGCTGTAGAGTAGGTGGGATACACACACATATCGGTCGCCCGGGTGGTCTAGTGGGTAATGTCGCTGTTTGCTAAAGGCCAGGCCATGGGTTCGAGTCCCGACAAAGAGAGTTTTTTTTCTCACTAAATAAATCCTGGTCTAGGATGAAAGCGACGCGCTGCAAAGCTCGTTTGTTAGTAAACCATAATCGAATTCGTGAGTCGCGAGGGAAGGGATTGCTGTACCCTTCCCGCGATAAAAATACCTCAGGCATGAACCGCAGGATGGGGTCCCAGCCCCCCCCTCCTATGTGACCCCGGTTGGGTCGTCTAGCTAGTAGAAGTGGAGGATAGGGGCCAGAGGAGGGGCAGACGACAGAGTCCAATGATGGGAGAAAAACAAAACAAAAAACAACCTGTGCTATTTGTGCGTCCGTGTCTTCGTCCACCTTCCAAGAAATATGAAATGACCGCCGTGGACCTCACCTGCAAAATTGTCGGGCGAGGGCTGCATCTTCGTGTTTTTTTTTCACAAGTTTTGTCACTCAGCTTTCTGCAGAGCTGCTGGTAGGAGACTGCGGTTGCTTGAGAGAGAATGTACTCTTTGTGTGGTCCTTACTTACACTACATTATTTGCCCCACCGCATTTAGTTATAGCACAAGAGACCTTTCGTGCGACCATCCACTGATTGGGCAAAGAAAGCGGTCCTTGAACGTATGCATACGTCGCATGCTTCTTTACTAGGTCGAAGAGCAAACAATCGCCCCAGTGATAGTAATAATCACGAAAGAACCCAAGAGCAACGTGGACGGCGAGGGGCTTTCCCCGTCAGCGCAAGAGACGTGCGGACCCCTTGCGTGTACCCACGGCTGGCTGACTACACACGAAACAACGGCGGTTGCCACGTTGATGCCCTCAGAGATGCCTTCAAGCCACCGCAACGTGAACTTATTTCTACGTGACTCCTCCACACCAAAACAAACTCTCTTATTAGTTGTTAACACCGCGTTCGATCACGCCGCATACCCCCCGCATCCCAGATCCACATAACCAAGCAGTCTACAGCATGTGCCTGCACACGAGATTTCTACCCACATGTACATGTGCAGTTTGAGGTGCATGCACGTAAGATTTCAACCAACATGTACATTATGTAGTTGGAGGAGCACGACCGCGAGTGAGAGCAACAACACTGTTTACACTGATGTCACAGACGCCGCAGCAAGTGAAATGACGTAAAGGACGCACATCATATGCATCATGTCCCAGCGACAGTGACAGAATTTCCACTCCGCACGACCGTCAGTACGTCATCGGTGGAGTATCTTGTACCGATGGATGCGAAGTTAATGAATCTTGGTGGTCGAACCTTCAGCTCCCGTGGCACTGAGAGGAAAGGCTCAATATTGTCCAAACCCTGCCGTGAGGTGCCCACTTTTTCGAGAACCAATCATGACAACAAACCTGCCATAAGGTGCGCACGTTTCTCGAGAACCAATCAACCACAACAGATTCCGGCCAAACCTGTCGGCGCTGTTCAATACCGCACATGTCTGCACCCTACGCGGTCAAAGTGGTCGAAACAACGTGCTCATCACGCTGGCCACCCATCGAAAATGGTCACAAACGACGAAAAAAGGTCATCAGCACCGACACGTTCATCAACGCCGAAAAAAGGTCATCAGCATCCAAACGGTCTTGAGCCACGACGGACACGACTCAACACCCACCAAGAAGAAGTCAACATGTATGCAACAGCACAATAACACCTTGACAAAGGGGAATGTCATGCGATAATCACATATTTTACTTTTCATCGGGAACGCTTCAGGAACACGAGCGCCAGCGCAAGCCCGCCCCCGCCCACCGCTGCAAGAATTCCGAGATCGGTCAGGGTGCGGCCGCTGCTGAATCCGAAGCAGCGGAGAATCTGATCCCCCGTCATGGGGTCAGTGTACACGATTGGCGCCGATCCAATCTTGGTCGACAGCCGGAACACAGCACCGTACGGGCTTTTTCCGAAAAGCAACAAGAAACAAATACAAGAAGGGGCACAGAAAAGGGGACGTAGACCGAGGCGGCGGAAGGCAGAACGGCAGAGAGGCTTCCGAGAGTGAGACGTGAGCGGGTTCTATCGGGCCAATCGGTACTTATCTTGCCGTATGGATATTTTCTCTAGTTCACCGTTAGCACGAACAAGAAACAAACGGCTTGTAGGACGTCTCGCGTGCACTGGTAACTGCATTCGATCTTGAGTCACTTCGTGCTTGGGTGGTGCATCATTAACTCGCAGTGTCTCGGCGTCTAGAGAACATCGTCGAACGAGAAATCGGCTTCAGCGGGTGGTGTTGTCGTCGAAATGCCCACTTCTTTTTTAATTGGTGCATAAGCGTTGCATCATTGCTCCCCCTTGTCGTTTTCTCGTCCCGCTTTGCTCGTGATTCTCTTGTGTTGTCACAAGCAACAGAAAAAACACAGCACCATATGTTTTCCGCTCTTCCCGTAACGTAAAAGCCGTGCAATATCCTCATAATGCCCTCCTCAACTTACATGCCGTCCTCTTCTTACAAAACTTGGCCCTGCCCATCTTCTCTCCCCACTTTCCCTCACCTAAACTCGTTCGCGACGAGCGACTCGAACCCTCTCCCGATGGGCGACAGCCATGCAAGCGCACCCCACGCCGCGGGCAGGTCGTCCTTCGACACAAGGAACCCCGACAGCAACGCCGAGAACAGCACCACCAGGCACCCCGTCGCCAGCGCCTCCTGCGACGACTTTGCGCCAGCGCCACAGGCGGCCAGGACCCCGGCCAGGGACAGGTTGAAGGCCACGAGGCCGCCCGCTAGGCCGAAAAGACCGCCCGGGCGTAAGCCGGCGAGGGGGCTGACGGTAAGGGCCAGGAGGATGGGGGGTAGGACGCGACAGGCGAGGGCGTCAACGGCGGCGGCGGCGGTCAGGTGGGCGGCCGCGCCGTAGGCGCCCGAGGCCCGCTCGTGCACAAAGAGGGTCATCTGCTTCCGCCAGGCCGCAAGGGAGGTGAGGCACAGCAGGGAGAGGAAGAGGAGCAGGAGGAACACCACGCCCAGCCGGTCCTGGTTGTTTTGCAGGGCACGAGGGGTGGGGGTGGGGTTTACTGTGAGGGAATGGGGAAGCACGGCGAACACTCGGGGGCGGGGCGGGGGGGGGGGGGGGGGGGGGGGGGGTNNNGGGGGGGGGGGGGGGGGGGGGGGGGGGGGGGGGGGGGGGGGGGGGGGGGGGGGGGGGGGGGGGGGGGGGGGGGGGGGGGGGGGGGGGGGGGTAGTCGATATTTGGTACACGCCGCATCACATTCTCCGCAATGGGCCATTTCCGAGTTGGTTGCGTGTGTCAACACTTGACACCACACCGCCTACTCCGTACGCCCTACCACGAAAACCCACTGCAAAAATTTCCAACACATCCCCCTCCGTTCGACTGTGGTGTTATCTCGAGCGGGTTACAATACCTCCCTATGATTCAATGCATATTTTCAAAAAAAAAAAACACCCCCCTCCCACCTGAAATAACCCCCCCGTCGGTGTTTGCCATCGGGGTTGGGTTTTCGTCGCTTGGCAACGACGTTGTAAAACGTGCCAAATCACTTCGTGAACTCGGCAACCAGGGTACTGTTATTTTTTTACCTCTGCTTTTATTTTGCGGTAACCACGAATGGTGGTCGAGTAGATCATGTTGTGCGGGGTCGAGAGCCCTCACTCCGCGTAAGGGGGATGATCGCCCCACGTTGTGTTACAATGGCCAAGCATCCTCGAGGCAGTTACACAGTGCATATAACTGCCTCTGGAGGTGAGAGCACCAGAAAATAAATTAAGTCATACGCAGCTGTCATTCGCACGCAAGGAAGTAAGCACAAGATGCCGAAAACCCTTAGCAGGATGCAGCGCACCCTTCATGCGACTCGCCGAATACCTCACGGCGCTTCGCGCTTGATGATGTGAGAGACTGGTCCGGTGAGAACCCGGCGTGCTCCGTCCCGGCTATGTAGGGATGCGAGGTCAAATGGTCTAACGACTATGGTATGCACGACTATGAGTACACCCCTCCTCCCACCTGAACTCCAGCCGTGCAGCCGTTCAAACGGCCCAAGTCCCGGAACAGAGAGCCAAAGACCACTCCGACGAACACCGTCAAGACGATGTGCAGGCCAGCCAGGTAAGGGTCGCGTGCCACGTTGATGGACGCTCGCTGGAGCAGGGCGCTGAGCTGGGTGCAGACGGGAGGCGGCGGCCTTCTTGTCATTGCTGAGCCGTGGATGCCGAGGAGGGAAGTCGGCGGCGGGCCCGAGGTCTCCGCGGCGCGCACCTTTGACCACGACAATATAATGGGAAAGCGCGAGTGAAACGAAGATTTGAGTTCGCGCCTCCCCACCAGCTAAATAGGACTTTGTTGTAGTTGTTGCTGTGGTCTTCACACAATTCACACAAACATCTGTTCTGATCGTAAACGTGCCGGGAGTCACAGGCTGAAGGATAAAGAAAGGACGGGAAAAACTCATCACAACTCAACAGTGGAGCACCTATTGATGACAAGCAGACCCAGGCACCACAACTAGGAGCAGCATAAACACCTAAAAAAAGGAAACTCTACTTGAAACATACACGCAACAATGGAGCACATCCAGACGATGAGCACACCCAGCAGGGACAACAAACAAGTGCGGCAGAACCACAAAAAAAAACACCACCTCACTCGCCTGCTCCACGAGTTGCTGCCGCGGCATCACCACAAGACCAACCCCGCTCTCCACACCCCCGCCCGCCCCTTCCCTATCCACCCTATCCTCCGCATCCCCGATGACATCGAGGATGGCATCCGCCGGGTTAATGCCCCCCGCCACGGCACCCCCAGCCACCCCCGCACCGCCGCTTGCCCCGCTCGTCTCTCCGGCGCCAAGCCGCGAAAACGGCCTCCCGATGGCAGCGAAGTGTGCCTCTGCGTCTGAGGGGGCACCGCAGAACGCGACCGCCCCTCGAGAGAGAAGAATGACCTTCGAGGGGAGGTTGAGGTGGGAAAAGAAGGTGTATGTATATAAAGACTGGGCGGTCGAGAGATGGGGGAAAGAAGGAATAAAAAATCGTGGTTCTGTGTTGTACGGAGACCGGGTGAGACACTGGGACAAGAGGGTTGTAACAGACTGGTAATGGGCTCATGGGGGCAGGTTGAGACACATGGAACAGGGGTTTGAGACAGACGTTGGTTTGGAGATCACGGACACGCGTTGAAATACAGGAGGACATATTTGTAGTAGGCTAAGCCGTGCCTAGCTAGCCGAACAATCTACGGCGTATTTTCCGTCAGACATGGATCGGATTGGTTGGTGCCCGATATTTGTCGGTAAAATCACTCGTTCGCAACGCAATGCTACGCAATGCCCGCAGCAGGCTGTCAGCCGGGCACGACGTCGAGCAGAAAACAAATGAAAAAGCCGCAAAAGGTGTTGGAAGCCGTAACAGAGTGGTAAGTTATTACGGGCCCGCGCCGCCAGGGGACGACCTTGCATGTGACATGACATGGCAGCCTTGTTTTTGTTGTTGCATCCACACCAGCAATCGTTCCGGTCCCTGCTCAGTGCCACCTTCTAAAATCAGTCTATTCTTCAAAAAAAAAGAAAAGCAAAAAAATGGAAGGGCAAAAAAAAAAAGAAGGAAAAACGAACAAAAAAGGGAGAACATTAAAGACAACGAAAACGATCGATCGATCCATCACCTTGTGGATGAGGCGGACCACTTCCGGGCGGGGCTGGTGCACGCTGCAGACCACCGTCGTCCCGAGAGAGGCTATCTCCGACACCAGCTTCATCACGCGCACGGCCGTCGATGAGTCTGGTACATACATACATCCAACAATACATACTTACATACATACTTACATACATCATGTACACTGATTTTGGTAGGGGGGG